GAGGACGAACACGAGCCTGCATGGTTTACGAATTTTAATCATTGACAATCTAAAAAACTTTTAATTAGCATCAAGGAATTTTATACAATTTTTTAAAACTTACATTCCCAGGAAACTGCTGTGTTTATGGAATGTTCTATTCTGTGTACTGTGTGTTGTAACATATAAGTGTACGTACTTTGCGTGTAAACAAATTATGTGATAGTGGTTTCCTATTTGTAGTGATGTTTGCCCTCTGAAGATGGTCCACAGAGACCGAAACATGTAAGGGTGTTAAGTTTTTATGTAGTAAAAAACTTACAGTCACATTGGACGGAGTGATTTATAATTTGTAATTGTTATTGTGACGGACCAGAATGAAACAAATCAAATTCTAAAATTTAAGTTAAGCACAAGGAATGCTATTCTTCTAAACACCACCATCCAATCCTGAACATCCCACTTTTTTTACGTTGGTTACTGTCAGCACCAAGACTATACAGCATTAATCGCCCAATTAAAAAATCTGTTAAACTGATAATAAAAATAATTTAATTACAAAGGCTTGTAACAACAGTAGACCTAAGAACTATGTACTAACTGAAATTGAAAATTTAATGTAACCCACATATGTGCACAACTCAAGACTGGTCACTTAACAAGAAAAATACAGAAGTGCATGCATGCTCTGATGTAGCAAGGAATGTCTGCATGTCACTGTAATAGTCAAAACTTAACTACCTTTGGTTTGTACACATCTAGTCTACATCTAGACACAGAATGTAACAGTGTCTCACAAAAAAATAAGATAGGCAAGGTAAACTGAAAAAAAAAAATTGCTCTATTTGTAACTTTTACAGCTCCACTTCCACAATGTGGGATGTGTAAAATTTTGTAAAAATGCTGTGTGGAACATATATTTCACAATTACGCTAGAATTTCAATAAAACAAAAGTTAAAAAAGGCTTAATGTTCAATCCAATTTGACAAAACAATGGTGTAACAGAACTCAAGATCCATAACTTGCCCTATCAGATAAAATATGTTCAACACTAAACATGCGATGCCTGCTACAAATATGGGTAAATGTTACATTATGGGTTCCCTCACTACTGAACTCAAAAAGATGATATAATGAAAACTTAGAAAAATGAAATAACTAAGGGCACCATGTATCACTTCAGGTGAAGCTATATCATCATAGTTTGTGTCAATGAATATTACATCAGTTTGTCTCTTCCACCTCCCTTCTTCCTCCTTGTACCTTTCAACATAACAATTTTCAGTTTGTTTACTCATGTACAGACAGACTTGACACTGAAGGTACTCCTCACTACAAAATAAATGAAAACAGTAACATGTGGGGAATTCATACTTTAACCAGCAATCAGTTATTTACTATGATTGGTACAAGAAGGTAAACGGAATATTTTTACTGTGAGACTGGGTCCATGGCTCTGCACTTCAAGGGGACCAGCACACTGCTTGCTGTGAGGTGCATGTGAATTTACCAATAAATCAGTATGCCTGATGGCAGATAACATTTGGAATGAAGGGAAGTAATTAACATGTGGACCGCTTGATGGTATTACACAACAAGCAGTGCGGTTTATGATTTGTCAGCAGGAGGCATCAGTTATCAGTGCCATCAGCCATTTGTTCCGAGTTTCTGTTAGTGAGCAGTGCAGTACGTCATAGTGTGGCATACTTAGAGTAACGTGTATTTCTGCATGTCACCAATGTGAAATACGGATCTGCTAGAAAATGTCAGTCAAAATTTTTATGTAAATTTCTTGATGAAAGAGTTCCCAGCAGACAAAAAATTCATAATATGGTGAATACATGTAGAAGACTGGGACTGTTTAACAGACAAGAAACAAAAACATAAGCTGGGAAGTTTGACGACATAGGGGCCTGACTTGAACATACACATATAAAATCACTGAAATGTCTAGCTCAAGAGACTGGAATGTCAAATACTAGTTCAAGAATAGCAACACAAGTGCTGAAGCCATCCAGAGAAAGTTGGTGCCTGGTGTGCTGTAAGTGCAAGAAGGATTATTTTACCTGTCTTTTTTAATGAAACAATTAACTGCGAAAAATATATATGTGTAGAGAGGACAGCATTTTTAACACCTTCTGTCATCTGCGAATTATAACTACTTTGTTCCGAACATTATCAACCATCAGGCACACTGATTAATTGGCACCATTTGTATGTGCCTCACAGCAAGTGGCATAGAGTCTGTCATGAGGCACAAACCCATGGACCCAGTCCACACAGTAAAAATATTCCCTGTAGTTACAAATTTACAAGTAAGTACACAGCAACACAGAGAATGTTTTGTGACTGGTAGATTTATTAAGAGTCTTACAAATTAACCTTTTTGCTGCATATTATTTCCTCACTATTTTTCTAGAATAAAGCACTTTTAAGGTAAGAATATGAAGAAAAAAAAATACACTTTCATAGCCAAGAGAATGCAGTCAAATGATGCAGTCAAATGAGATGATTATTTCTTGATGAGGAGTAAATTCAAATGTCACACTATATAGTACTGGAGGCTTGTGTTCAATATTGCAGCAATAAGGTTACAGTACTTGTCACTGCTGAAAATTTTTGCACACTGATTTGTACTTTTAATTATCAAAATGAAAACATCATTTTGATTATAAAAAACACGATAAATCGTTCTATAAAGACTTGCAAATGGCCAAAAAGAAAAGGTCAAATAAGTGCCAATCTGCATTTGAATATGTAATGTGTGTTCAAATGACACTTCATTATGTGGTTATATAATTTTAGTTTGTCTTACATGAATGTAAGCATTCAATGATGGTTGTAGCATCAATATAATATCCACCACATAAGACACAAATCAGATGTGGATTCAGGTCTGTGATCTTGAGTCTTCGAGGCCGATGCATCTTGCACTTTGAAAACTCAACACTTTGCCATGGATGCTACCAAACAAAATAAAACTGCTTAGAGGTGGCAGTGAAACATAACAGACTTCATAGTACTCCGTAACTTACTTTCGGCACGTGCAGAAAACAAGCAAACATATATACAAACGATGTCAAAACATTTGCCTTATATCAGTAAACACCAACAGCTGTGGTGTTTACCTTTTCTGCTGCAAGACGTCACAGTGCGCACACATATATGAAATAGTAAGTTCAATATGGCACACGTCAAATCAAAATCGCTGGCATAAATATATACACAATGAAGCACACAATGATGTACAACATATCATAAAATAAAGATTTATGTGAAAAAAAACTGACGCGTTAGAAAATAAGCCAGCCATATTGGAATGCACAGCCTATTTTGTGCTTTCGGTGACCCCTATTATACCAGGTACGATATCTTCCTATTTTCTTGATGTCAGGCTTCAGGAACAACCGAATTTGATTTCATGTTCCCTTCGTGAATATCGATTGCCATTAAACGAACTACTTTAACTTCTGTCTACTGTTTATCGCATTTGGTCTATTGGCACCCAAGAGCCACGAGCTTGATTTTCTACACCACGCAGGTCGACCCAAACACAACCTCGATTTCTGTTTGGAGGGAGTCACGTGATCCCGCCAAACGTCAGTTAGCAAGCTAATTACACAATTGATATTTCCACCAAATACATTTGTAACGATATACACCACACGGACACAAACACAAAGTGCAATACGACATTCAATAAACAACACATAAACATAATTACATAAACGAATATGAACTACTTATTCTGGAACATTTAGTTTACCTTCTTTCCGTTAGATGACGTATAAACTTCTCAACTTTGATCGAAAGATGGCACTGCAGTCACTGAGTCCATATTCACGGCGGAATGTGATGACGGGCTGGGAACGATGGAACAAATCTTCTGGGATTGTAAACGGTACAAGACCCAATGGGAAACAATGATGGACATTCTGTCTAAGAAGAGCAAAAAAGAATACCCGAAGTCAGTTACAGAGCTCTGAAGACTAGAAGACAAAGTATTTGTGCAAGGCGTCTCCGTAAACAACATTCCCATATTTATTTAAAAACTGATATGTATGAAAAGATAAATAAGTAAATGTATAAAATAATAATAATAGTATACTCTCAGATTTAAGTTACGAGCCTGTTTTGGAAGAGACTGTGGGCCTATCGTCTTGACAGATTACAGATGAAATGAATGACTACATTATGTTCGTCCGACGTAATGCATGATTGTACTTTTTAATTTCATGCACTTACCTTCAGCAATGGAACATAATAATACTGATCCTGTCATAGTATGGTGGCAGTTGTGACCGGTTGAGACGGCGTGAGAAGACGACCACAAGGCAAATATTGCGATATTAATTAATTTGTTTTAATTATGGTAAATTTATCTTAAGCAGGAAATATTGCCTTCACATGCGATACGAAATTTTGACATACATTGCAACAATTTTAGCAAGATGGAAGATACCCGATGATGGCCGTACAGTATACATCCGAACCATGTAATGTGGAAAAAGAGTGACTATATAATGAGTTGAATTTAAGACGGAAATATATTAAATAAATTATATATTAATGCAACAGGATGCTTAAATACAATATTAAGAAAGGAAAACATTGGGTGCATCCGTTCTTCTGTGACAATTTAAAAGGAGGCGCATATATTGTTTCGAAAGAACTTAAACTGGATCCAGACTCCTTCGTCTCATGAAAAATACCAGGTTCTTGTTCAGTTAACTGCACAAAAACAAAATTAGCAGTTTCGTCGTCCTTCCGTGCCATCGAAAGAAACAAGCGAACCACTGAAGCGCGTTATAAAACAGCTGTCACTAGGAAACCACGCGGAAACGCAATTGTGAGAATACTGGCATGCTCCGTTGCCTGGATGTTGAGTTTCTCGGTCGCTCTGCCAGTTACGTTGCCGTTTCCTCAATTTGCGCTGCTCCATTCATTAGCTTGTGTTGAACTCACGCTGTTTACAATTCTCTAAAATCGCGGTTGCGTTGTGGTTGCCAGTCTCCTTGGTGTACCCTCAGCCCTAACTGGTAACACAGTTAGGTTAAGAGATGTTCAAAAATCGCGGAGTGACCGTGACCTGACTTGTCATATATCATGTACAATGATCTACAGTGACGAAATAAATCAATCAATCAATCAATATGATAGAATAAGACGTTTATAAGAATGCGCTACAGAGGTCCGGATGGGTATTGCCTAGGCCATTTTTTATAACACGATAAAAAAATACACGGCGACTACGTTACAAGACAATAACTTTTGAGTTGCTGACGGCTTCGTTCTAGTCGTTATGGTATTCCTGCTGAGAAGCCGAAACAGTTTTGGGGTGTATCAGTGTGAGGATGTTAGATGCCCTTCTGTCCGGAATATTATTTCAGTGCCAATACGGAGGAATTTAATTATTATTTAAATGACGAAAACTTGGTATAGTTTCGTTTATAACTGACGTGTACATGTATAAAATTCTACCTAGTGTAGAATGCTTTTGTATGTGGAAGGGTAATATTTCATACGTGATACGCACAAGAGAAAATAAATGTGGGTTTGGAAAGTGACATTTGGTATGAAAATGTAAACATAAACATGAAGACGTTTCCTTTCATTAGCACCCTTTGTAGGCAGAACAAATATTTTCTTATAGGTTTATGTTTGGGATTTTTTTTTAGTTTCATTCTTTCACCAATTTTTGAAAACGGTTGTCTCGTTAATGAGAATGGAGAAGGTTATACAAACGATCATCTGTCTCGGAGTCGTTCTCTAAGTAGTGATTCGAACTTACTAGGGGATGAATATGAACCGAGGATTAACTTCGCAGGTAAGCCCAATAAGGCCCGAAAAACACCAGCCCTTTTGAATCGGCCTCGATATTACTCAACGGAATTGGGTATACGTGAGAAACTTTTTGTTGGCGTTTTATCTTCTCAATATGATGTATCTACTCGTGGTGCTGCATTGAACAAAACTATTGCACACCTGGTGGACAAGGTTATGTTCTTCATTGATGCACCTGGACATCAAAAACTGAATATTTCAATGCCTGGGGGCATAGTGGGTTTCACTGATACAAGAAGAACATTGAAGGTTTTCCATATGCTGAAGTACATCACAGACAATTTCTTGGATGAATTTGACTTCTATTTTTTGGTCAAGGATGCAACATATATCAAAGCTCGTGAACTATATGAGATGGTGCAAGGGATTAGTGTGAGTGAAGATGTCCATGCTGGAAGTGGTAGAAGAGATGAGCATACATCTTTCTGTTCATTAGGTATGGTTATTAAGCATAAATTCTTCCTTGTTTCAGATCACCATGACAATAAGCACTGATTTTGACCTTTTGATTCATAAGGAGATACTTTTTTTTTACATTTACTTGCATGCAAAGTAATAGTTAGATTAAAAAGCATCTGAAGTATAATATTTTCCATACTATAGTGGACCAGCATATATCAACATTTTTTAGTGAGGGAATTTGAAAGAGGTACCACCAGATCCTGTTCATAAAAATCAGAACCCTTTATTATATTTCGAAAATGGTAATTGTGGAAGATACATAGAATGAAGACTATGCATACAACACTAAACCCTTGATGTTAACTCTGTGGAGTGGTAGGTTGTGGGTTTGACAGTGGTTTTCTCACCACCTGTGTGTTGTCCTGACAGCTTGGGCTGTGTTAGGCCTGATTATGTGTTTTATTGGACTGGGGACGAGTGATGTGTGGTCATCATGAAATTGTAATTTTGTATTTTTATAAATGTAATGTTTTTATATCTTGGATTTGTTATATATGTTTAAGCTATATGACCAAAATACTCTGTTACCTTTGATGGAAACTTTTATCTTAAATTTTAATGTATTATGCTAGAGAGAAATTGTATTATGATGTAAACATACATTGTCTTATTTTATAAGTCTTCTTGACAATTGCTTAAGAGTATTAGCAAGATAAATTGACACAATTCTGTATCTAAGGCTTTTGCCTACTATAGATGTAATGGAATAAGGAAGAAATAATAATAATAATAGTGGTGACATCAGAATTTTGGAGGTAGCATCACCCACAACCACAGTGAAACAACTTGAGCAGAATTTAACATCGATGATTAACCACCATGGAAGCCGAAACTTAACATTAGATTCAACTGTTCAGTCATTTTAATTCATCATTTCCTTGGTTGAGTGAGGTACAAGATGAAGAATTTTAAAATCTTTTAAATTGCTGATATTTTTTTGGTTTTAAGAAATATGTTGAAAATGATGAACTTAATGAAGACTAAATTTTAAATATATTTGTCAATTACAGATGCTGGCCTGCTCCTCAGCAGCTCAGTGATGCATAAAGTAATGTTATCACTTGATTGGTGTGTTAAGAATGCTTTTTCTGATTCTTATGATGACAATTTGGGACGGTGTATACTCCATGCTACAGATATGTCATGTCAAGAATCAGTTCAAGTACGTAATTTGTCAGTTTCATAATTTCATATTCCAGATGACTGAACTTTTGTAATTTTGTAGATTGCAGTCATATAGTACCAGATGCATTTCTTACTATGAACTTGTGTCTTCAGGGTTATGCATTGACAAGTTACTCTCTTGATAGAAGCTTTAATATGGAGGAGGATATTGAGAGACTAACCAAAGACTACAAATTTCATTCTGCATTGACACTTTATCCTGTCCAAGAGCCAAATGTTTTGTTTCAACTACATGCTTATTTCTGTAAGGTAAGTGGTGTAAATAATGTAGTTGCAAGAATGTTTTATAGTAAAGACACTAATGACAAACTCTGGATCCCCCATTTACATAGGTTACAAGATGTGTATCATGATAAGAATTATAATACGAGGTATAATGAAGAGCCCTTAAAAAGAAAAACCAGTAGCCAGTATAATAAATTACAGAGAAACTGCAGACAATTCAGATGAGAAGGAAACGTGGCAACACCGTGAACAGAGCATTTGATAATTGTATGTGATCACTCCATAACCTATCAATATGACACGTCATCTGCAAAGCAAGAAAAGATACTGTCAATTGAAAGTTCTGTTTGCTCAGATCTTTTTATCCCAGAAAATCTAAATTTGTTACTCTTGTAGCAAGATATACCATTCAGGAGTGAATATTTGTAGTTGAATTCTCTGCAAGATGTAAAAGTGATGGAAAGCACATTCATATGTTCACTCATAAATGCCCACAAGAATTGATTTCCATGAAGATGCATCTGTCAAGGCTTCTAAAAAAAATTGGCACATGACACATTCAGTTTGTGACAAAAAGGGATCTTAGAGGAGTGTGCTAACTGAAGAAAAAATAAAGATATTCAGGTGCAGCTGAATACCAGTCCTTCGTTAAAGACACCTGGCAGGAGAAAATGGTGTTTCAAAGCCCTGTGACTACTTCATTTTTGCCGTTATAAAATAATGGTTGTGCATGAGCTTAAAAGAGTTGGATTATGCCAGAACAGTTCATTTTTGGAACTGGTTGCTGTAAAGCATGAGTGTGATGATCCACAGCTACAGTAAAGCTCTCCCTGTAACAGACCATGAAGGCTCAGAAGGGTGTGAGAGATCGAGACTCCCATATCTCGTAGAAAATCGGCGTCAATAAGCTGGTACTTATTTCTGTTAGAGGCTGAGTAGACCCCAGGGTCATAGTGTGGCTCAAAGGATTAGTTAAATTAAAGAAAACAAAATTAGTGACCTCATTGGGAATCGAGCCCATGACCTTCCAGCTTCTAGCATAGTGCCTCAACCAACTATGCTATGGCCCCTGCCAGGAATCAAACCCTGACTCTTCGGTCATCCAGCCCATAGCCTTCATTATACCAGCTGAATTATCCTAGCTCTTCAGGATATCAGAACTTTTAAAACAGCTAATGATTGCTCCCTCCCAATTCATTATTTGCTGTAATCATACTGCCACACATTATAATACACACAGCAGGTGGCAGTGAGCTGGCTCAGATAAACAACAACTGAAACAGAATGATACATGGTCTGACAGCAAACCAAGTAGAATTACAAGATGAATGAACTATCCAATGTATACATATTTACATTGTGAATGCATAATTATTCTGGTTTATAAAGGGCATTACTCTTAAATATTGATCTGGTCTTATCTCATAAATGTAATCTACTTACTGTGTAATTTCATCTTTCATACCATTACCACTTCTGATTAATTCATCATAGGTGGGACTTGTTCACAACAAACAAGACATAACCTCACTGCGTAACTCTCTTGTGAACATGTCAGAAATGACTCCTGGGAGACGGAGTGGTGTAACATGGCCAATTGGAATCCCATCAGGAACTGTACCAATCAACAGGTTTGACGTGCTTAGATGGGATTATTTCACAGACACTGAAGTATACCTAAATTCAGACTTCTCCAATGTCAAGAAACTTGATGGAGCAGATAAAAAGGATATACAGGTAACATTTTAAGATTGGCAAGAAAGCTCCATTTTCATATATGCCTGGGGGGAAGAAAGAAACAATATTTGATTCTGAACCCTTTGCCTCACTATTTAAATTCACTGTATCCTGACATAAGACCAGTAAATATAAATATCCTTCATCCACCAAGTTTTAGTATGTTAAGGTGACAACACATGTACCCCATTTTACAACATCTGACAACAGGTAAAGCACAGGGTTAATTTCTGTAGTACAGATATGACAACTGACATTAAAAAATCACTCCAGAAATTAATAGAGCTGCTTATGATAAATATTTTATCAGGTATGCATCAGTAATAAATTAATCAGTAATTGGTCAAGAGAAACACACTCCAGTACAAAATATGCTGTAGTGTACTCATATAATAATGAAGTGAATAGCAGAACATTACAAAATGGAGCTATAAAGTGGTTACCATATTTTGATTTTCAATTGTGCAGCACATAATCTTTTTCAGTCAGTGTTCTTAAGAATCGAGTAGAGGCTTCTACTCCCATAAAAAATAAATACATTTTTCCTGCTGTCCCACATTTGGCAGTAATGTAGTTTCACTACTTCTAGGAAATGATGATGAAAGCATTTATTATTCTTTTGGACAAAACTTGTGAATTTTGCTTTAGTAATAATATTTATTCCATTTGTTTTGTTGTTATTGCAGTGCGTGCTATACATAACAGCCACCCATCCTTGTATCTTCTTACACAGTCAGTCTATTTAATTTGCATTGAGTATTCCACTTTTTATGATGAAATGATGGTCAAGATATAAAAAAGTGTGTACAGTGACACTAATCAGGACAGCAATGTGGGATTTGGGACTTAAATCGCTTACAAATCAACTGAGTATGTCAAAAACAGTCCAAAGATGGATGTTTTATGAGTAACCAGTGAAGGTTTACTGGCACTAATTCTTGTGGAATAGAAGTGTGGAACTGTAGTTCATGATGCATCTTAAACAAGACTTTGAAGACAGTCTTCTTTCAATAAGAAGCTGCACCTTCATATTTTCATCACAGTGAGACATTTTGTCAAAGTACATTTACCTGGGAGAAAGACTGGCAGAGGCACACCTATTAAGTGGCCTGCTAGATCCTAAGACTTATCTCTAATGAATATTTTTTTCTTCTGGGATATGTCAAGATATGTCATATCCTCAAAATTTCAAACTCAAAATCAGAATTCAAGGTGTATGTGAATCATTTGATATTTAAATGTTCCAAAGAGTATGGAATGATACATCATTTTCATGTTGAGTAGAGTGACCAGTGATTTTCATATTCAGAATCTAAAACGCAAACAAAAGCCCTGTCCTAAGACTTAAAAAGAAAGTAATAATAAAAATAAGATGTTATCAGATTTCTTTGTACAATGTTCACAGTATGTGGTGAATGCAAGTATCAAACAGGTGGAAGCAGGATGGGGAGAACATCTGCAGTACCATCACTTGATAAATGGCTACAGAAGATTTGATCCTTCCCGTGGTATGGATTATCGTCTAGACTTGGCATTTAGGGACACCAGAACTGGCCAAGAAGTTCACAAGAGGTACAAATCTTAATTAGTTTTGCAGCACATGTATGAGGGCTGTTGCTAATATTTGGTATAATGGTACAAAACCTGGGGATACTCGAAGAAGCTACTCCTCATTTTCATCGACTACAATCTCAAATACTGCAGACTGATAAACTGGGTTTATGACTGCCTAACATGTTAGGTTTGTGTTCTCATTACACAGTCCACATTAAAGAATTTGTGTAATAGATTATATACATGGTACTGAGAGTCATATTAGTAAGTATTAATTGATCTTTATTTATAGCAGTGTTTTATTTCCATTGTAATATTGTTACCAGCAAGTAACTTTCTGGTACAGGGTATAGCTGATCATGTGATATGCATTCACCTGTTCACAAATTCTTCATTATGGAACCCAAAGGTTAATGCCTGTCACCACAGAAGCTTATAACTGAGTCCTATCTTGAGCCAGTTTATTCCAGTGAACATCAACACAGCTCATTTTCCCAATATTCATTTATATTCCCGTCATCTATATCTCCACTGCTTATCCTAAGAAATTTAGTATGTTATAAATTCTTGTGTAAGAACTTGGAATATCCAACGACCAAGGCAGTGAAGATTTTGACTCAGTGGCTCATAACAGGGTCCAGTAGCAGACTTTGGTGAGTAAATTATGAAACTTCACATACAGTAGGGAATTTATCATGCAGCTTAATAACAACTGCCCAAGTGGTCTCTTTCAGTAAGTTTCCCAACCAAAATTTTGTATGCATTTCTTTTTTCCCATTGTTCCAGATATTCTTGCCATCTCAGTCTCCTTGATATAATTACCCAATGTAAAATTATTATAGGGTATTTCTGTTCTTGTCACATTTGCAATAACAAGTTGCAAAAGTGTGCCTATTAGCTTCATCATGTCTGGCAAGCCTTCTGTCCACATGTAACAACTCCAGAAAAACTTACCAGAATTTCATTACATTTTAAACTGATAAGTTTTATCATAATTTCCCAATAAATTCTACTTTTGGTTAAAACTGGACAATTAAAGACACATTATATGAAGACTTACTTGTGATTTTATGCATAACTTAGTAAATGCTTATTGGTGTAACAGATCCATTGGATTGATTTTTTGTGACTTGGATGTCAGGTCTGTTTTACATTGTTTAGAAGAGAGCATCAAAATTTAGCATTCAGAAACTGCTAGGAACATGAGCAGCAATTGCACCAAAACTGGTATGCTATACACACATTTCATTACAGTTATGTAACTGTCTATGCACGAGTTTCTGTTTCACTGAAGTGACTAACCACTTGAGCTATGGCGCGGCCTGCATAGGGACCTTGCTATGAATACACTGCAGAAGTCATTGCTGTTTCCTCCAAGCTTCAAAATTCGTATGAAAGAAAGAGAAATAAATATCCACCATAACTAATTAACAACTTGAAGAAAAGTACTTCTTGAGAAGGCAACAGTTATTCAGGTAGTCAAGAAATCCCACCATTTATGGAACTGAAAGGTTCATTCCTAACAGGGGGGCACGCGGTAGCATAGTTGGTTGAGGCACTCTGCTACAAGCCAGAAGGTCACGGATTCAAGTCCCAATGAGGTCATTGGATTTCTTTCAAATGACCAAATCCTTCTAGCCACACTATGGCCCTGGGGTCGACAGAACAAATAACAGAAATGAGTACCAGGAATTTTCTTGGGGGTAAAGGGCGGTTGGCATGTAGGGCTGACAACCTTGCCACCATCTATGAGCCAATTGTCTAGAAAATGTGGGAACCTCAACACAGCCTGTTAGAGGGATACCTTTACCTTTTACTTTTATCATGTTCACCACGGCTTGCCATTAGTTCCTATTCTGAGTCAAATGAATCCAGTCCATACCCTCCCACCCTATTTCTTTATGAACCATTCTAATATCCTCCCATCTATATCTAGCCTTCCGAGTGACCTCTTCCCTTTAGATTTTGAGATCAAAATTTTGTATGCATTTCTCATCTCTCCCATTTTTACTGCAAGCTCCATTTATCATTCTGATATACTTGGTGAAGAGTATAAATATCCTTTATACAGTACTAATTATGGCAGCCCTAAAAAAAGTGCCATACACGAAATAAGTAACAGTAATTGCAAATTATTACTTTCAGAGTGGAGGTATGTAAGCCATTAGGGAGAGTTGAGGTGGTACCCATGCCATATGTTACTGAAAACGTACGTGTGAACTTAATTCTACAAGTGGAAGCAGAATCTAAGCTGGAAGCAATGAAGTTCATGGAAAACTATGCCAGGATTTGTATGGAGAAGCGAGATAAGACTTTCCTGATGCTGGTACATACATGTTAAATTGGAGTATACTATGGATTGTATTCAATGAAATTTTGTCAACATAAAATGACTTATTCTTGGAACTGGACAATTATTTCAGATATTTACTTGTAGCTTTTTTGTTGTTGTAGGTTTTGTTGTATGACCCAAGTTTACCTGGGAAAGGTACAAAGGACGACATTTTTTTATCAGTCAAGGAGCTAGCTCTTACTTTATCTGACAGATACAAAAAAGATGGAAGCAAAATAGCCTGGGTGTCTATAAAGATCCCTTCACCTAATGAGTTAGCTAATGATCCACTTTTGGAATTTGTTGTGGCTGACTTAGTTATTAGAAAGTTTTCACCAGAGTCACTAATCCTTATGTGTCAGTCCAACATGGACCTAAGGCAGGATTATCTTAATCGGGTGAGTTTTTTGTAATGAGAGTTAATGTATGAAATAATGAAATAAAATATTAAAATGAAAATAAATTTATGTAATACTTGTAGCTAATTTTTTGTTGGCAAGGACACTCTTATAGAATAATAAGGCCATTGGCTTTACATTTAGAAAGGAATAAAGTTTTGATATATGCTTTTCACAAACTCATTTCTTGTTTCTAAAAGAATGTTTGATTTAATTAAGCATGACTGCTATTTTCAATATGCTGATGGTTTCATAAAAGAAAAGGAGTGTGAATGTAGGAGATATAATTTGTTTCTTATATTCCAGGCAAAGAACCTGCAGCATTTTAATGTCGAATTTCAGTTCATTTGCTAATGCATATAAGATGAGTCATTTTTAATGACTAGATTTAACATAGTACCTTCTACTTCCTTTTTTCAGGTACGCATGAATACCATACTGGGCTGGCAAGTTTTCAGCCCCATTCCTTTCTCAGAATATCACCCAGATATTGTGTACAGTAGTGCCAACACAAGCCCAAAGGAATTAGACATTGATAAATTATATGGCCATTATGACACTAGAGAGTTCAGCCACATTGCTTTTCATGCTCGTGACTATACTACAGGTGACTGTTATAACAGCTGCATTTAATAAAACTTACATGTATATTCAAATTTTAATATGGGGATGTATTAACATTTACAATTAACCATTTTTAATTTGCTCCTCAGCACGCAAACAAATAGAAGACATAATACCAATAATACGAAGTGACAGAGACATTCATTCTCTTATGATCATCAAATATGACAGCCAGTCAAGTCCACCTTCTTCATTATATGGAATGTTCACCAATTCAAGAAGTCTCCACATTCTGCGTGCTGTTGAGCCTGGGCTGCGTCTACATTACCAAGAGAGAAACTGTCAAGATTCCAACCGTCAGTGCACGGATATGAGAGCTTTCAATTTAGGAAGCAAAAGTCAACTTGCACAGTTAATATTAGACTATCTGGCCAGCCATATTACAACCTAGTCTAACTAAATTTTAGTCAAAGTGAGATAAGCTTGCATACATCAGTTGGTTGCCAATGTAAAACATGCCTGTCTATCTTGTTTATCCTTCCAAGTCCATTTTTGTATTTCCATCTTCTGCCTAAGGCTTAATTGTGTTAGACCTGAAATAAAATTTCAGAATCAGACTTAGTCCAGTAGGTTTGGAGAGCTCTCTCAGGTCTGATATCCTGACAGGCTTTCCTTGTATAAGACAGAGACTAGGCATTTTCAGTGCAACTAATTGAAGCCATCTTAACACCAACTGTACAGGTTACAGCTTCATACTGTTTTGTATCCACTTTTATGTGAACGCAAATGAATCAGAGCACATATTTCAAGCCCCCCCAAAAAAGTGCCAATGCCAACAAAGTATGTTTTACATACCTATGAAGATGAAATTGTCATGGTATTATAAATCCAAAATGTTGTTTACTTGAATTTCTGTTACACTGCTTTTATTGTTAATTCATTTGTGTAATTATATACTTCAGAATTATATGAATTATATCTTATACTAAATACAGCCAGAAGAAATTGCCTACTTAAGAGAACAACAGCAATCTGTTTTTCTCATGCCAAATATAATTTATATCAAAGCTACAACATATTCTATAGGTAAAAAGGTAAAGATGTTCCTGTGATTAATTGAGCACTATGCTATGAATACATGGGGGAGTGGTGGAATACCTCCACCATTCCTGGCCTTGGAACTAGATGGACATGAGCGGTGAGTGTCACACCCCAGCTGCTTTGCCCACTGGGAAACTGCTCCTAGTACCTGTTGGATAAAGAGGCTGGTTGGGCCCCAGAATCGGTCTGGATGCTATGGAGAAGAGAAAAATGTGGTCCCTACTAGGAATCGAACCCTGGCCATCCAGCCCATACCTATACTGAATGAGCTAATGTGGCTGTCCCTGATATTGTGCATAATACAGGGCTATTCACAAAGTAACCTTTGGTGAGCTGTTAACAAAACAAATAATGACAAAAAATCTGTACAAGTGAAGTAGCCTCAATGTGATATTTTTTATCCCCACCCTTAAAAATACCTTTAAAAGCAAAAGATCTAATGATGCGGAAGCAATTGAATACACTGTAATGGAGCAGCTATTTTCCATTAAAAAATCTGGCTTGAAAAGTGCTTGCAGGACTGGTTAGACATGTTGGAACAAGTATAGTACACACTGAAGGACTATGAAAGGCATTAACTTCCCATTCCTGTAAGTACAGTTTCTCAGTTCTCATAGGTTCAGACTCAATACTTTTTCTTCAGGCCTCATAAAAACAAGCCTGTCTTTATGGCTACATGAAAATGAACACTACTTTACTTTTGCTTATGATTCAACATGTACTACCAAGCAGGCTATTGTAACAGAAATGCTCTAAACCTCGAGTCTGAATGATCTTTGGTTTGAAGTATCCTGAGTCAAGTCTTTATGGCTTTCCTTGATCCCTCCAGGNGACCTCGAGTCTGAATGATCTTTGGTTTGAATCTTGACTGAAAACCCAAGTATCCTGAGTCAAGTCTTTATGGCTTTCCTTGATCCCTCCAGGAAAATGCTTGGACAGTATCCAGTATACTTGTATTATTAGGCCATGACCACTTTTTCCAAATCCTTTCCACTTCATTATTCATCCAACATATTACCATTCAACACTATTTAATCTGAGATACTGATGGCATCATAAAATAAACCCCAAAAGGAACACGTACAGTATATTCCCAATTATCCGTGCATGTATTATTCGGTTTGGGGCTGTGTACAACCTTATGGGGTGCCTCTTTGCTCAGTTCAGCTGTCTGTATGCATTCAATAACCCATGAACTGCTGTACATATGAAATTTCACAATGGAGAATTTTATGAAGAAATGCTGTATCATTTCAATTTTCATTCAGATCTGACAATTTTAATAAGCACTTCACATGAAGACCTGCATGCTAAATCTCTATCATACTGAAACTTTTTTGAACAAAAGATGTAGAGGAAAATGAAAAAAACATTTTATGCTCAATAAACTGTTTCCATAAATCTTATGGTTTTTGAAGTAGCTGAACACACTGGACCTATGGGTTACACATTATAGTTTTTATGTTCAAAGTCACTGTGATCTTAGATTATCCATGTTTTTCAATTATTCATGAGTCTTTTTTCCTCTTCAATAGCATGGATAACTGGGAGTATACCATACTCTATCTGTTCCACTTCTTTTCTGACCTAGTCAACTGAGTGTCCTCGTTATGAATGGTACAGCATCATCTACAATGTGCAAACAGCAATTCTGATTACAGTGTTGCCTTTTCTCTCATATGCATCTCCTAGGCATTAGTACAAATTCAGAAGGCTTAGTACTAAGTAACTGCAAATTGTAAAACTCAGACCACCATCACCTAAGGCCCTTTCCACCAGTATATCTAAAATTTCACTACAAAAAGAGGGTCACTAGTATGGTGGCGACATAAATGCTGGTCCCTTAATTGCTTAAAGGGAGGTAGTATGCCCAATTTCTGTAATAATTTTGTCATATTAAGGTGCACTTTTGTGAAAAACCATAATCTTCTAAAGTCCTAAAACTTGATTAACAAGTATTTATATGTTTTCTGTATCCACTTTTCTCATAATATATTTGTAAACAGATTTTTTTTTTATAATTTTTCTTAAATGACTAATTTTCCCAACATTTTCAATGGAAAAATATTTAATGCCATCATGAATGTATTTGTTAGACATGTAAAAAAAGTATTTTCACAAACAACAATATAATTCCTGACATATATTTCATGCATCTATAACATACAATTTCTGAGAAAAAATCTCATATGTCTATAAAAGATATGTCCAGGAGATTGATGAAAAGTTAAAATGTATCCTTGGTACCAAGAAAATCAAATGAAGGTAAATCAACAGTCCTATCACTGCAGACATCTCTCTACTCAGTGTGGAAAATCCCTTGAGCCCATTGACTAATAAAATACCCAAGTTTCATTAGAAGATGTATAACTGAATTGGAGGCATACTGTCACTTGATATTTAATTACATTGGTTTTTAATGCCACTGTATGAAAACTGAAAAAAAAAAAAAACACACTGCATTATCATAAATCAAACTTCCGACTACCAAAATAAAAAAAAAAACAACCTATTTTAGACCCCAACTATCTTACCACCTCCCCTTAATCCTTCATGTAATGTCTGACAATTTGGGAGGAGTCGAGCTGGAACCTGTAAACCCCAGCTATGAGTAATTACAGCTCTGGCCCTCATAAACTCAAAGCTTGTGGCAGACTGCAGCTGTGGTCTCAGTGTACATAATACAGATATGCACATTCTGCCACAAGCAATATATAAATATAACCCTATCCTCAGTGTTTAGAAGATAGGAAAACAACTAACATATAAAAGAAATAAAAAACAATAAAAATTTTCATCCGCACATGAAACTTCAGTTTTTAAAATGTTAAGTACACTGTTATTTTACATCAACTTACAATCTCCAATATTATTATCTTATAAATACTGATATATTCTTATGGAATTCCATATTTTACTGAAAATTGCCAATTATTACTTCTGATTCAAATATATTTTTTCTTTGTTAAATACATAAGTATGCATTCTGTTAGATGTGGGTTTGGGTCTCTGACTTACAGCATTTGAAATAACGCAATGGAAGCAATGTTGCTGAATAGTCTGGCAATGTAAGTTCTTATATCAGAAAGCCTTTGTGTCTACTGGATAGGACATAACAAGTACTAAGTTGTCTGGAGATAGGGATGAGCCTTGTCAGTTGGGACCAACTGAGCACACCTGAAGTCAGAGACAGAATCCAGTCTTCAAAACACTGTGCATTTTAAATAAAAAGCAGGACAATGGACAATGTTCAGAAATGCAATAACTGTTAAGTACTCACATTACTTCAACCTCCACCATGCATTCAATAGCTAGTCGCTCTCAGATCCTGACTCAGACAGCTGCAGGTCTTCTGTTAGGAGATGATCTGGCATAGAGAGGGATGGAGATGCTGTCCCATTCATATGACCTACAATCATGGCTATAGGTCAGCAAAATACATAAATTGTGGCACAAACCCAAGCAATGTTACAGATAATAAATGCTAAGAAAAAACTAAATCCTTTGTTACTGGACTGACTATAAGCACACAATAAAAGAAAAGCCACCAATATTAAAAGAAAATGCAAACCTAAACTTACTGTTCCTATCACTTTTCCCCAAACAACAGTCTTAAGATACAGAAATTGTTTAGATTGTTTTACCTAACAGGAAACCCTGAAGATGACCCAAGCAAATATCTAATGAGCAGGAGGTGGATGGCATGTAATAGACAACAGGAGGAGATTATAGAATATTTTCATATGCTACATGTAATAAAGAGAATACTTGTAGAATTTCATGCACCACAAATGAAACTTTGTACTGATGTAAACTTATCCAAGTCACTTGTCCACTGGAAGGCCTAAAGACTGTGGCCTAAATTTGGGAAACTACACATGAACTGTTCTAATAAGCAGTATGAATTTCATTACTTCTAAAAATGAAAAGATCACATTAATGTATGTCTAAAATATCCATGTTGTAGTACTACTCTCTTACAATAGTCTAGTCATTATTTCAGTATACAATACATTCTGGTAACCAGAAGAAATTGTCCTCAAGGTACTGCAGTGGAGGACCTCTCTACATCCAAGAATTCTAACCTTCCTCACAGAGCCCTAACTATATGTTTTGTTTCTACTTAATCATCTAATGTTTAACTCTGGGCCTTAAGCTTTCAAATGTCCTGGTTCACAAAACCTGTGTGAGGAGAATTCATCAAGTTCTGGGCAATATTTTTTAAAAAATTCTTACAGGTAGGCTAGCAAATGTCCATTTTTAGCAACACTTAATGCTTATGGCAATCATTCTTACTTCAGCTACAAGACTGGGAAGATTAGTCAGGTCTCAGAGTTGGAACTCCATAAGTTAAGCGCAGATTCTGGGTAGCTTTAAGATCAGAATTCACACAGCAAAGATTAATTTTTACAGTCTGGTATGCCTTACTCTATTTAGAAAATCTCACAGAAATCCATGTCATTAATCTCGACACCTAGCATTACCTAACTGCTACTATACAGTATGGAAAGAAGTGCTGGTCCCACAGCTATCCACATCCAATGTTAATTAATTTCATATTCAGAAATACTGGGAGTTTGGACTCTGTCCATTGTCCAGTATGCCTGAAACTAGAAAACGCAATATTTCCGAAACTGGATCTGTTTCCGTCCTCAAATGAGAGGAGTGAGACCTACTCTGTAGGGTTCCTTAGAAAAAGCTAACTTCAATGACTGATCCCTTGAGGTGTCTCCCCCTCATCTGAGAAAAGGAAACAGATCCAGTTTCCGAAACATTGTGCTTTCTAGTTTCTGGAATATGGATGATGGACAAAGTCCGAAAACCCAGTAATTTTACGTATTATACACCATAGTCAGAACCTTTAGAATCTAATTTCATATAGATTCAAGGCTAGTAAAGACACTTCATACCTTGTTAAACCTGTCAACATAACTGTATAAAATTTGAAGAGCAGGAATATATGTGTAAAATTCAGGTACCATATTGGGAAGCTTCAAAAGCAATGTGTGCAATGCCAAAATAAGGGCCGCACCATAGCTCAAGTGGTTAGTCGCTGGCTTCCCACCGCGGTGGCCCGAGTTCGATCCCAGGTCTGGTCAAGTGGGATTTGTGGGGGACAAAGTGGCGCTGGGGCAGGTTTTCTCTGAGTACTTCAGTTTCCCCTGCCAATCGTCATTCCACCAATTGCTCCACAATCACCCTCACCTATCATCTGGGGCTGGTACAATAGGCCAGAAGTGGCCGCAGTACAAGGGACTTAGTCCTACCCCACTAACATTAAAAAAACAGCCAAAGTAGAATAAAATTTTGTCACAGAAATACCTACCATTTGCTGTAACAGTACTGTTGCTTGGCTGAGTATCAAGTTCACTCTCACTCCCTGATGAATCACTGGAGTCCGATGAGGATGTCTCAGACAAGATTCCAATCTCGTCTGCAGGTGGCATTACGCCATCATCATCTGCAGTGTGAATGTACTCTGGAGACACTCTAGGAGGGATAAGTGACTGCTGTTGTTGCTGAGAAGGCATGTATGAACTTCCAAATCCTAGATCTGAGTCATCAAGGCCAATTACTGGAAGGCTTGCAGGCAGTGAAGGTGGTGATTTATGTTGAGACTGTAGGCACCGAGGAGGGGACCTGGATGAGGGGTATGAAGGGGATGCATGCAGAGGAGAGTGCCGTGGAATACACCCCAAGGAGGAGGCGAAGTGATTAGGTTTGGGAGAAGTTTTCTTCTTATTAGAACGATGCTGAGGAGATGGTAATTTGTTCTTGCCATGAGAATTTACTGAGTCCACTGGAGTCAAAGGGCGTGAGGATGAAGGTGGTGCCAACTTTGGGGCAGACTCCATTCTGAAAGAAAAAGTAGCAGAAATACATAAAGTAATAAACATGGGCCAACTTTACACCTGACTCACATTCCTGATGCCTTTGCACTGAATGACAGTGGTAACCATTCACAGACCCTGTAGGTTTCCAAAATCCTTCCACAGATGATGTAACACCACATACAAATTGAAAAATATTCAACATTCATAAAATACTATCTAATGCCAATGGTTCCAGGAAGAGCACTATTCTCAACTACAAATCACCAGATCACTGACTCATCTTTTTTCAACTACTCTAAACACCATATATTTCTAAAACATGTAAGTGGATATTAAACCAACCTGCATAGTAGTACAATATTACATGAATTTTTTACAAGTTCTAAAGCTGTATGTGTTATATTTCAAATATAAGTTTTAAGGGGGTACATGATTAATTTTCTCAGTTTGTGTATGTGTATTTCCTGTGTCACTTGCTGATGGCAGACTGCACTCATTTCCCCCCACAGCAGAAATGTCTCCTAGCAGCAGATAAACCTCTAGATGTGGTCAATGATAACATGAGAAAGCAATCAAAATGTTCCATACTAAGTGTACTGTGTAAGCTGTCATCCCAAGTACCAGAGATACTGAAAATACCCTAACTCACATGTTAAAAAGAATTTGCATTTTCTATATTGTGGTCTTCAGGTTATGACACCACCAGAGAGACACCAAAATTTTGGAGGAAAAAACTACCTTCATCTCAAGGGAGATCTACTTATAACTCTACTGTACAGACAAATTTCCTGAACAGTAGGCATGTGTCAAACTGTTCAACATACCCATGTTTTCAGAGAACCTGAACCATTAACACAAAAGCAGGCCACCGAACTCTGCTTGTATCTCTTGAATTTGGTTCACACAACAACCCCCCCCCCTTTTTCCATTCCTACTCCTCCTTCTAGAACTGTCTTTGTTTTATATAGGTTGATGGACAGAAAGTGTCTAATATTTTCTTTCTTCTCACAATCTTTCCTTTTTCATCTCTTGCCAGTTCTTTCCTCCCTCCTTGGTTGTCTTCCAGTACCCCACAGTATCACCTTGCCATCATCCCATAGGTCTCCTTCCTTTAAACTTTAATTCTAATGCCTCTCTCTGCCTCTATCTCTCCTTGTCCTATTCATTAATTTTATATGACCAAACTACTGTTATCATTCTTATTCAACCTCTGCTAAAGATTCTGAAATCCAACGTCACTAAAAATTTAATTTCTAATTATATCCAATTGTTTTTCATTCAATACTGTTACAAAATTTCATATTTACTGCTTTGATTTTACTTTTGTTTTTCTTTGTAATGGTCCATGTTTCAGCATAAAAGGCAGCACTGGCTTAAAATATATTTTACAAATTGGTGCTGGGCACTGTTTTGACATCTCTTTGTTCCATAATACAATGTAATAAAACATTGAATTAATTTGTGTTGTTTTACTGATCTCTCAGTTTTAAGTTCTGAATTTATTTCAGTACCCAAATAAATATACGTCTACCTCCTTAACCAACGTGTGAACTTTTTATTCAGATGTTTGGATGTGTTTCTCGACATCCTTATAGTCACCTGCTTATCCATATTCATATTCAATCTGCATTCCTTTCACTAATTTACTTTCTCCCCAATATCCTTTTTTGTCTTTCCCCCTGTTCACATTGTCTGCAATTAATGTTTCCATGCCTGGTGTTTTGTTCTTTCCTTTAACTTCATTATCAAAACCCCTTAAAAAATAAATTTTAATATTACTCAGCTATATACAGCCTGATGTCCCAAACCAAAACTGTGTATGTACTTCAAGCTTCTCTTACATATTACATGTCCTGCCAACTGCAACCTACTCAACCATCCTAGAATACTTCCTCACTTCTGTTCATCACTACTTGACAGATTCTTAACGAAGATTCAGAAACAGGGATATTGATACAGAAGTACATAAGTTATGTAGGATCTAAGGTTCTCACAGAGCTGTATCTTATGGGACAAAACATCAAAGAGCAGTGACAGAAAACTGACATTTTGGTGAAATACATCACTTCCATCTTCAGGATCAAAGAACAAGCTAAGCAAAAGAACTTTTCAACATAAACTATACTAATCTATGCATGCATACATTCATAATATACCACTGTAAGTATGTGACAAGAGAAGAGTACATGTAATTGTAAGATTTGAGGCTTTCACGGCGGTGAATATGAAGAAAGCAGTCTTCTGGGATTTGGCGCCGTGTATATGTGGTGTTAACCACATATACACGGCGCCAAATCCCAGAAGACTGCTTTCTTCATAGTCACCGCCGTGAAAGCCTCAAATCTTACAANAAACTTTTAAACTTGCACTTCAGCCAACATGGATAGGTTTCTTTTTCTTTGTGGTTTATTTTTATGACACTATCAATATCTGAGTACAAAACACTGAGTGGCAGGATAGTTGGAGAATGAGGAACTGGCAAGATTTGGAAGGAAGCAGTCATGGTCTAATCAAGGTGTTATCCTGACAGCTGCTTAGAGGGGCTGAGTAAAACCACTAAACATGTCAGAATGGGTGATGTCACAACAGATGACCCAAGCACCTCCAAAACACAAGTCAACAACACTACTGCTACACCAAGCTGATGGGTGACTAGTATTCAACTATGTGTTAACATAACCAGAGAAAAGAGGGACATCTGCATACCTAGGATACTGATAACACGACAAACTGTATTAGAATTCTGACATTAGTTTCAAAACAATGTTACTACAAGGACTTCAAATGAGAGGTAATTTGTCAACAGTGTGAATATTACATGTCTTGAATTAAATTACTGCATAATTTGCTGTTTACAACAATGAGAGAACTGTGCAGTCCAAAGACACTATGATCAATTCAGTAATGAATGAAGATTCTGCTTACTCAGGTTCTTCTGCCTCAAGCTCTGAATTCCACTGTTGTTACTATGATGCATATGATTCAACAGCAAGTGTTTACAGTCAAACCCTTTACAAGAAAATTTACAGAAAATGGATTTATACTTTCTATTTGTAAATATACACAAGCATGGTATCCCACAAAGACATGGAAAAGACTGTGAATCTCTGGTTCAGTTTGTGACAACAGAGACAATCCAAGACAACTGTCCTAAGCAAAGAAGATTGAGACATTCTAGCACAGCCAGAGATCAGTCCTCACAAACCATTCAGACGCTCGGCACAAGAAATCAATGTTATGTTGCGATCTGCATTCACAGCCAAAATACTAATTAAATTCTGCCCACATAATATAATGGTTGTATATGAGCTTAAAGAACCAGATTATATGGAATGAATTCATTTCTGCAGCACACAATGAATCTGTAAATCCATGAATTATAAGATATTTTTCAGCATACTTTTAACTTTAGACTAGTAGACAAGATACATACTGGATTATTTCTTCTGCCATAGATGAACAAAGGCAGTATGGATATTTTCAATTACAGCAATTCAGGTGACAATGGCATGAACTCTATATGTGATACACATACAGACAGAAAAATAAGTAAAAGACTCTAACCTCCTAGATTCCCAATCTGAGGAGCTACTATGACATCTGAATTTACAAAACCCTGAACAGAAAAGTGTGAAAGAATAATCTCTACATGACTGAAGCTCTCCAAAATGTAATTACATGCACAACTGCTTCAATTCCCAAAAATTAATTTCAAAATGTGCGGCAAAACTTGCTTATGTGCTGAAGTACCCAAAGCAAATGGGGGTTACTATCAGCAGTTCTACCGGGTGTTCCTAAAAGAATGGTGGGGTTTCATTGCCATATATCTCCGTCAGTTTTTGGTGATGAAAAGTAAAACGTATACGGACTGATAGCGTGGCTCTCAAATTTTCATTTTGTATATCGCACTCTTTCCTAGTTCCATTTCTGACAGTTAGGAGGCGTGAAATGTAAGATGGCGACCCAGCAGGAGAAGGCCTATTGCGTGCTAAGATTTGAGGTGTCTTAAATCCATCGTTACAGTGCGCCGTGAATTTTGTGTACATTTTCAGAAGGAGGCGCCACATGAAAACAACATTCGCAGATGGTACTGGCAGTCTGTGGACAGTGGATGTCTGTAAAGGCAAGAGTTCTGGGCGGCCACGTATACCACATGTAGACGTGGAAAGAGTGAGAGAGACGTATCAGAGAAGCTCAAGAAAATCATTACAACTGGCCAATGATTCCAATGACTACATTTTCCAACAGGACGGTGCTCCCCCACATTTCCATAGCACTGTGAGAGGTTTGCTTAATCTGGTCCTTCCGCGACGATGGATTGGACGTGCTGCAGGTGAAGATGCCCCCATTCTCCGGTGGCCACCCCGATCCCCAGACATAACTCCATGTGATTTCTTCTTGTGGGGGTATGTGAAGGACATGGTTTATGTACCCCCACTGCCCCAATCGCTCCAGGATCTCCGAAACAGAATCAATCATACTGTGGAGACCATCACACCTGAAATGCTGCAGCAGGTGTGGCAGGAATTCGACTATCGCATTGATGTGTGCCGGGTAACAAAAGGTGCGCACACAGAGGCACTTTGATGGATGTACATAAAATTTGGACAGTTAAGCTTCCAATTGACACATGTTATGATTGTACATGGTAGGAAATACGAAATATATACGTATCTAAAACCCCACCATTTTTTTAGGAACATCCTGTATAAAATGAAATCTGAAGCGGCTTTTCATAGTAATCAGTTATAATGCCATGTGCAAGTATATTGGTAAAGCCCATTTACTATTTGTACCATAGTATGCTACAGCTTGAGAAAGCAATCTTGTCAAGTCCTTTGTAAGTTTGTGTGCATTTTACAGCAGTGTATGAATACCAGAATTATGATGAAAACAGAATCTACTATAACTTTCTAATTATGATATGCATGTCACTAACTTCCATAAGAGGAGGCATAAAACAGTGCCACTTGTGACAGAAAACACTGTGTGGCCTCTCTGCTTATGCAGTAACTATCACCATACTCTTGCATGCAGCCAGTTTCCATCTCAGTTGAATAGCCGGTAGTACATGCAGAGGACTCCTTGAGAAGCTGATGGCTGATCAGCTGTCAAGTAATTCTCTATATTAGATTAAACCAGAGTATCACTTTGTCCACAAGATCACATCAAGAAAGTCCACATCCTCATACACTTTCAACAAAAATTAATAGAAAAACAATTACACTAAGCCTTAGTTACATTTTAAGAAAAAATCACGTTCTATTAAATGCCCAAAGCGCGGACTTTGAATTATTATTTGTATACCTTGTTTTCTTAACTTGGATATTAGAACTCAGTTTCTCTAGTGTAATCTCTCCTGTCACTCTATCGATAATAAGAACACATTCTTTCTGATATGGACGCTGCGAACCCTTGAACACAGTATGTGGTGTTCCAGCTCCATCAAGATGTGGAACAGTTACTGTCACTTGTTGATTTGATCCAACATCAACCGTTGCAACCTTGCTAACATCAACACTTGCAGGTTTGAAGTCATCTGAAAAATTATGATTTTTAACGCATTTTTGTGATAAGAGGTACAATGATGTAAACATACAAAACAGGCAACTCTCAAAATATATAAAATGTCATATTCTTTATCAGTACCTTGTAATAACTTACATCGTAAAGTGTGGAAAGAACTTCCTTTCGTGCTGCTAAAGCTCGGTCCGAGCTTCAACTGGCGCACTTCTGGCCCTAAGCCCAACTTATCGGCCATATTACGCCCATTTACGCCATTAAGTTGGCACTTTTGTATACCCAGCTATATCTTGTAGGAATGCTGGCACTATTAGAACTCCACAGAATTTTAAGTTCTGCACATAACCATTTAATCAACTCGAATAATGATAATCATATACATTATTCTTCTATATATCATGTAATCTTATCAAAGTTATTAACTACATATACCGCAAAGCTGCTCCATATTCCTTGACCTATTTCACGAATAGTTTCTGTAAAACCACTATGACACGCTACACAAACCAAATGACGTACTACAACACGGGCTACGCGGGCGAGTGGACCAAAGAATAGTCAGTTCACAGATTGGACGCAATGAGAGACTTCCTCGCCATCTGTCTGAAACTGCATATTACGCTCTTCAGTACAAATAACTGGTCCAGTGCTCTTACAACTAAATAGAAATTTTGTCCTGTACTTAGCAAAAATCTTTATTTAATGAAATAATTTCTTCGTTGCAATAGCCGTGCTAAAATACAGCAAGGTTTTGGAGAAAATTTAAGCGAACTCTTTCAATTTATTAAGGGGTAAATTTATTAGGATATTGTTCAATTTAAGTTGGCAGTGGATCAGTGTCATGCGATTTGTGGTCGTGTGGATGTACACTAGGAATGGTGAGGATTTTGAGCGCGTTTGAGCGATTGCGAATCGATTGTGAGGACCGTGAGGTCATAGCAGCACAGGTAGAGATAGCAGGCGTTAGAAACTGGGATAAGGAGAAGTGGAAGTATGCAGAACTGCCATCTTTACGCATCCTATATGAACTAGATAGTCTGGAGATGTTTGGAATTGATCCAAATACACCTATCGCAATTAATCGAATCGCATGAGTGTGAGCCAATCAGAGAATTCTGAACGTTCCGAAGAATTCTGAGCATCCTGAGATAGAGATAGGAAGGGAGGTTAGGTTTGGGCGGCCATAGATAGAAATTTTGAAAATGAAAACTGGCAAATTAATTTCATGGTTCCGTACACAGCAGGGAAGACAGTTTGTATTCGGAGGCATATGTTTTCTAGGAATTGGTATACCATCAGCAAATTTCCTGTCTCATACATTTTTACTATATAAATACAAAGAAATTGTTCAGATGTATGGGTAAGTAAGCCTATAATTGTACCAAGTATTGGTTCCCAGTAAACTCCGAGGTTAAGGGAGCAGTGAGTGATAAATCCACTCCCCCATATGTTAGGGGCTGGTGATTAATTAGACCTGGTCGGTTCTGATTTCTACCTTTTACAAAGTATTGGTTAGAACGAAATTTGGACACCCATGCGCCAACTAGCTAGTTAATTTAGCATCGACAGAGGCTATCATAAGCAGTGGGGTTGTTCAGACAGTTATATCAGTACAACTGTACTTCCACATATAGTTAGTGTATACGAGAAGTTATTTTGATTGTACAAAAAGGAATAGATCTCGAGATTTTGATGAATTTACTAATATTGAGCTGCCCTGAATAAAAGAAAGTTAAGTGCCATTTGTTTGTATGTATGTGCACTTTTGCTATCAACTGAATTGTTGGATTTTATTCACATTCCATATTTAAGGGTGTATATTCCATTAATTGGCACATGGTGAATGTGAACATTATCACTCCAAAACAGGGGCCCCAAAACACAAAATTGCCATTTTCTTAAAAGTTTCTAATGGTTTTGATAATATTTCAGTAATTTGTAGAGGCAATCTCCACAAGTAAAATGCATATGTGGTATCTTGAAGAAAATAATGGTATGGACGGCAGGGGCCGAAATGTTGATATACTTCTACGGATTTCATAGTTGTTCAGTATTCAGTAACCAACATTGGTCACAAAGCAAGAATTAATTTCATATGCAAGACACAATTAAAGTTAATTGCATATGAGAAAGTATGTATAGTGTCTTTGTACCAATTTTGAAGAAAGTCACCCAACTGAAGATTCAAGTAGCCTCTTAACCCATTGCCAGCAAATTCAATGAAACCAAGTAGCTGCATACCCATTCACAAACATCCTTCACAGAACTACGAGCCTTACAAAATGAATGCAAATAAACAGAAATTTGACAACCAATACTGTTTTCTTTCCCATCCGTGACAGATAACAAGAGCAAAAGCAGAGCTCTTGTGGCAGCAGGAACCCATCATCCCAAAGGATCTTGCTCTCTTTATCCTTCATGCCTTCTGAAATGTATTATTCAACAAAGCTAACTTCTGAACACCTATAAAAACAATTCAGTATTGGTATATAACAATCATGGTAACAGCATCCATAAACAGACTAGTTGTTATGTCTATGTGTGTTTATATCTAGAATTACCTAAACGTAACAAATGATGAAGGCACATTGGATGTGCCTAAATTGTGACTTAAAAAACAGCTTGATCCTAAGCCTAACAGAATTGAGGCAATTTCAGCATAGTGTATTACTCTTTGTTTTACACTTATGCTGAAATTCAAGTGGAATCTAAACTGAAACAAATATTCTATGAATATATCATGAAACAGAGATTTTATGTGACTTTGGGAGCTCCTAAAATTAAAAAACTTTACATTTTTTATGATCTTATTACATGTTTGTGCCTTCTTTCTTCTCATCGCTTGAGTGTGGAAGATGTATTTGACACTATTGTTCTGAGTGGGCATTCATAGGAAAGGTCTCAATATCTAAGGGACTTCATGAGAATAAGTTACTAAGATCATATTACATGAACAAAATATGTACATACAGAAACAGAATAGTACTAAATGCATTCCGTCATATTCTCCAGTATAATGAAAGTGTCATCCTTGGTCTCAAGGTTTTCCCCCAGAGACTATTTCTTGTTTCCATGGTGCAAGTTACATGTTTAAGCTCATTGTGAACATATGTAGTCAGATTATACTAGAAGAGGTTAATAAGTAAAATACCTATTACATAATTTTCTCAGTTTTTCAAGCAGTTAGTATCAGGTCCAAATATTATTCATAGTAATTTTTTAAATATTTTAGTCTCAGGCTTTCCCAGCCCTTGGTGAAAAAAGAGATGGTCCTAAACGTTTCTTTTTGATATATCTTTGAAAATTTATAAAAATTACTAAGTTACATTATTATTAATATTTATAATTTCAAGTATTATATCTCGGGTCAGATGGCAGTGTTTAATAAACGCAGGCAGATGGCCAGATTACCTTATTTAATGGATTATGTGGTAACTTCCATAAAATTATGCTCTTTGGTAGATAGAATCATCTTGTCTGTGAAGGTTATACTACAAACAAATATTCCGAGCCTTTGATATCCCACTCCATCATCTACAAAATGATGCCATATTCTACCATTTCTCATTGGGTTATACTATATATAATTCAATAAAAGGTGAGTCAGTGCAATCATATCTAGCAGCTTTAACATTAACACCAGTTTTGGTGGGGATGTTTCTCTATTTCAACAATGCTTTGTCTACTGCTTATGTCATGTAACCTGGAATGGAAGGATTACTGAATGATGAATGGATAAGGATATAGAAGGAAGCATTCATCGTCTGTTCCAAGATATTTCCTTATCCTGGTTTGACTTAGGAAAGCCATAGCACACCTCAGGCTGGAAGTCAGGACTGAGATTTGAACCCAAGATCTTTCAAACATGAAAGAATGCTAACCAGCATACCACAGCATAAGCCATAGGGAATGTGTACACTAAACAAGAAATGGTGGGAAGATTGTATTAGTGGGTTAAGAGCTGTGTCGAATGAAATGGTACTAATCCTGTTTAAGGTAAAATCTTGATATTCATCGATAAGTACACAAAACTTTGAGTTGTCCAGACACCTAGCCAAATTTGAACCAGTATCTTCTAAGGACATTACAAGTGTTCTGCCACTGAGCCACACATTTTTGTTAGTTCAGTGTATTGTGTAAGAGAATACTACTAGACACAACAGAAGCTGATGGAAACAACCAGCATGGCTTATGTTTAATTCACAGACTCGGAATAGCTGTCCCACTCCCAGCTCGAGTTAAGAAACGCGTAGAGGATGTCATGGATGATATGCAGATATCTGATAAGAGCCGCAGACTTATTAAGCCATTCACTGTCTTTGGATATGACATGTTCCATGCGGGATGCACACAAACAACAACAGGAGCGATTATAGGAATTCCATCAAACTTTGGATATGACAGCACCTCAGATGTGGATCGGGCTCATGTTCTTGTAAGTTCTGTACAATAAATAATGTTTGCTGAATTCTATAATATAGTAGACCCGCATTATAGCATGGCTTTTAGCATGTCCTCCAATATGATTACATGTTTTAGTTACAACATAAGACTGTATTTCAACGTTCCTTGTAGTGTACAGGTTTAGATGGTGAAGTCCATAGTCCACTGTGGATAGACTGTATGTTTCTGGATTCCCTAAGCTTGGGATTATTCTGTTGAAACAGCAAAAATGTACCTTAAATTTCATGTATGTAGAAATATAGTATTTTAGCGTCATATTGTGTATGTGAAATTTATTTTGTTTTGTTGCCACATGTAAAATTGAATATATGATGTAGCCATATTTCATATTGTGGTGACAGAACAAAATAATGAATTTCATTTATGCATTTCAGTTGCAGCATAAATATTGCATACATAATAACAAGGATTCCAAAATTAGATAAATGTCAATTTTACTTATATTGTATAGCCTGAAGGTGTTACTCAACACCTGCTTTATATCAGGGGTATGATATATTGAGTGTGATTATATATACATTTTTTCAGTTAAAATATATACATAATATTCTTGCTTGAATACCCTTAACTCATTTAAGAAAATTCTAATTTTGCATTTGAAAAATAAATATTCTTTTTTAATCTTTATATTCATTTCAGCAGAATCTAATCAAGCTTTGCTTTTCCAGCCCTCCATAGCATCCCTTCCATAATTATGTCACCATCTTTGTACTGTATTGTTTGTTGTGTTCAATACTCAGATCATTATTGGGTTCACAGCAACTTATCACTGGTCCATACCATTTAACATCCTCATAGCATATTATTTTTTCAAGATTTATTTAATATCCTACTGTCCATGTCCAGGTCTCACAGGTGGTCTCTCCCCTCTCAGGTTTTCCAACAAAACTTCTGTATGCATTTTTCATCTTTCCCATACATACTACATTCCCTGCTCATATCATCATCCTTGATTTGGTCACCCTCACAATATTTGATAAAATTACAAAATATGGTACTCCTTATTATGCAGTCTCCCCGCCACAAAGCCTTCAGTTACTGCCTCACTTTTTAACACTCACTGTATAGTCTTGCCTTAAGGGAGAAACAAAGTTTGACAGACGTATAAACAACAAGTAAAATCTATGATATTGTATATTCCGGTCTTTGCATGTTCAGGTAGATAAAATACAGAAACACAAAACATTCTGAATTACATGATAGCATGCAGTCAGCTAATTTAATTTCTTCATAAATGCAGTGCTCGTTTGTTACTGTCATTTCCAACAGACGTTTGGACTTTTCCACACTTTCAAAGGATTTATTACTTGTAAACTTTATAGATATTTTTATTTTGTGCTGCATTGTGATAAAATAAAGCATGAATTTGTTTCCATTTAGTTTCATCTTCTTACTAGCATATACTAGTTCCAGTTTTCTCTGAATAAATTAACCTCAATACCATACACCAAAAACTGATTTGTCCCATTCAGTTCCAATCTCCCGGTTTTTTAAGGGCCTTTCTAATGGCTTATTTTAGAGCAAAGTTCAGAGTAAGAGCAATAAAGCATCTGATTTGAAACCCTTAATTTAAATTAGCCTAACTTAGTCATAAACTGGCCGATCACAGTGGCCACGCAGTCTGAGGCATGAACTGTCTTCACTGGGATCATGGGTTCAGATCCCATTCAAGGCATGGACGTCTGTGTTTGTGTTGGTAGCAGCCTTGCAACAGCCTTATCTCCCATTCCAGGAGTCTTAGGATTAATAAATTAAGTGAAACAAAATGTTTCATGGGTGCCATATGCTCCGAAGTGGGAGCAACAGGAAAGAGATAGAGAGGATCATAAGCCACCTTCTAATCTACAGGGAGATCGAGAAGTAGCGCACATCAAACGAAAAGGTGTTATAAACTGTATTGCAGTTAACAGAATTATATCTCCTACCACTAGATGTAGGAATACTAACAAGAAGTAGAAATGCTGTCGTGTATCAGTCATATGACTTCTGCAGGATAGCTTTGTTTAGTGTGTGATAGACACGTCGTTTTCAAAAGAACGAGTTTTCATGAAATTGAAGAGTTTGATCAGGTTTTCTTCAGAGATGAAGTGTGGTTTCACCTTAGTGGCTACGTGAACAGTCAAAACAATAGGATTTGGTCATCTGAAAATCCACGTGTTACATGAAAAGCTTTTGCACTGTAAGAAAATTGGAGTGTGGTGTGCTGTATCACGTCGTCGAATAGTGAGCCCAATTTTCTTTGAAACAGTGAACAGTCCAGTGTACCAAGTCTTCATTACATACTTTATTGCGCTTCTTGAAGTTGATGAACGTAAGTGTTGGTTGCAGCAAGACGGTGCCACATGTCACACATCTAATGAAACCATGCAATTCTTGTGCGAGTTTTTCGGTGACCATCTCATTTAGAAAGGATTGTGGCCCCCACGTTCGCCCAGTTTGTCACCCACAGATTTCTTCCTTTGGGGGTACTTCAAAGGAATTGTCTATAAAAACAATCTGCATACACTGGATGACCTCAAGAGGAACATCATGATGGCGATTAACAGCATCAGTTTACAGGTGCTCCACAGAGTGGCCTCAAACATGGTAAAAAGAGCTCATGCATGCATTGCTGAACAGGGAAGCCATTTTGAACATATGATGTAAAGACATGATTTGATTTTGCATTTCTAAGATGTAAGGTTATAAACATTAATAGAAAGTGCTGTATATCTTGTAGTTTGTGCATTAAACCAGCAAAATACGAGGATTGGGACTTTAATAGTATCAACACTGCTGCAGAGACGCCATGCAAAGGAAAGAAATAATGTCGCTTATACCACATGTTAGTTACATACGTACCTCGCCTCAGAGCAAATGGACTCTCCCTTCCCACATCACGCGCATGCACAGTGACGAGAAGAATAGAGCCTTGTGTTAGCTGGCAGTCTAATGTAGTGTTGTCACAATGTTTTCGAAACAGGAACAACGGAGTTGGATAAAGATTGAATGTGCCAGAGGCCATACAGACAACAGGGTCATCAAGGTCTTCAAGAGGCTTGAGGGGAATCTGCATTGCCGTACAGAACAGTGGCAAGGTGGGTAAGAGCCTTCAACAAGGGACGCGAAAATGTGGCATGCTCTTTCCGCATTACTGGAGTGAGATCGAAGCCATATGATTCATGAGCTGGCCCGAGAGACAAGGTTAGTGCATACGACTGTGCTTCACATTCTGAAGGAACGCCTGGGCATGAGAAAATTGCATCATGATGGGTTCTGCATGATTTGACGGAAATGCAGAAATGGCTATGATACGATGCTGCTCATAACCACTTTGAGCACTATGAGCGCAAAGGAGAGGCTTTCTTATGCCGTATCATTACGCTGGATGAGACATGGGCCAAATCATACGAGCCACAAATGAAACGCCAATCGAATGAATGGCATCATTACAGGTCACCACGAAGATCAACAGCACATCAGAACCCCAGCAATGTGAAAGTTATGGTGATTCTCATGTTCGACTGTGATGGTGTTATCCTAATGCATACCGTTCCCTGACAGCAGACTGTCAATGCGCAGTATTACTGTTCATTTTTGGAACACAACCTGTGGCCAGCTTTGAGAAGGAAGCAGCAACACTTTCTCCAGACCCCCCCCATCATTTTGCAGGACAATTTTCGGCCGAATGCAGCGCAAGCTGTGGCTGATTTGTTCGATCGATGGGGCTGGGAAGTGCTGTACCATCCACCATACTCCCCAGACTTAAGCCCTTGTAACTTCGACTTGATTCCTAAGAGGAAGGAACCACTTCATGGCATTCGCTTCAGAACTGTTCCAGAGATTCTTCAGGCAGTAGACTGCTCCATTCAAACTATCAACACAACAGGCGCTGCTAAAGGTATCCTATGACTTCCACATCGCTGGCAACAGGTTGTACACAATGCTGGTGACTACATTGAAGGACAGTAAAACTTTGAAACATGCATCTATTTTATATCAGTTATAAATAAATAGTTGCCATTATTAAAGTTCCAACCCTCGTATAATTGCTTAGTGTGACTTTTCGATCTCCCTGTATATGTAGCCAATGTACTCCAACTTTCCATAGGAAAAATGCATAATCATCTGCTGAATCAGTGCCACCTTTTTTCCATCTAACCTGTGTTCCCAGTAACTGAAATCTACTTAATTACCTTATTCTTCATTGAATCTGACTTACAGATATTTCTGATATTTCACTTTCCAACATTTTCCAAATCTGATGCCCATTTTCTATTGCACAGGCAAAAGAAAAGGTAAAGCTGTCCTTGTAACAGCCAGTGGAGGCCCATAGGGTTGTGAGACATCTCTACTCCCACATCTTGTAGGCAGTTGGCTCACAGATAGTAGTGAGGTTATCAGCCTTACACGCTGGCCACCCTTTATCCCCAGAAGTCCCAGGGCTATAGTGCAGCTGGAAGGATTAGGTCAATTAAAAATCCAATGATATCAGGAGGCAAACCTGTAACCTTCCTGCTTACAGCATAGTGCCTCAACCAACCACATTACTGGATGCCCTTTCTATTATATTTAAGCATCCTGTTGCACTATACACTTCTATATGTAATAATACAAATGCCATCGTGAATGCAAGAAAAGTATTAAAGATGAGCAGTGACACACACACACACACACACACACAGAGCCTGCACAGAATAATACATGAACGGTGCTGAAAACAAGAAATAGCCGCTGCAGCACATGTAGACAAGAGCAGGTGTCCCTGGTATTTAAAACTTTAAATTTTAAACTGTAATTCCAAAATCAAATTGACGTGCGTGTTGGCGAGATTTTAAAACAAAAGTGACAGGCTGATGTTTTAGATTTTGGACTGTGTGCAGTGTGACAGCTACGTAGTGAAAAATACACCTGATGATGGCCAATTATAGCCAAAACATGTAGTGTAGAGGAAGAAAAGACAAAGATCTACAGCCCTTTCTATTGCTTAGGAGGTTCGAAATCTGTGACCATGTGTAACAATTCATAACAAGCTGTTTCTGCATGGTGAGATTTTAGCTCCTCCTAACCCCAAAGCAAGTGGACCACCCCTTCTGGTGTCTGTCTGAAACTTATTTGCAGTATCTTCCATATCTCCCATTTATAATTTAAGGATATCCCATACAGTGGTGACAACTGACCACTGAGCAAGCTGGCTCAAACAGTAACACCTCTGACTTGTATTTTGAAGGTGACCAGTTCAAATCTTGGTTAGGACACTTACTATTATATAACCTTTTTCATGAGTTTCTTTCATCCCACTAATTCACTGTCATCCAGTCATTCAATTGTATATAATCTGAATTGACAGTGTCATTATATAAAGTGATAAACTACAAATAAATTGATAAGGACCCACTTTAGTGTTATTTGTATATGTGTGTAATATCTCAGCTCCTTGTCTTTAATTATAGCTTCTGAACTCAACTTTATTTACCAGCATTTTTTTTTTTTAGTTTAAAGGGACACGTGTGTTTTGATGAATTAATGGTGAATCAGTATGAGAATAAAATATGTATTTGTTGTTACAGTTAGGAAATTTAAACTTCCAGAATACTGTACACTTGAGAATTTAGTTTCTCATGGCAGTGAATGTTAAGGTTAATGTTTCCAGGGTTATTAATACAAATATCATCATCATCAATAATCTGTCAGACGACAGGTCCACAGTCTCTTCCAAAACAATTCCTCCACTTAATGCGATCTAGAGCTTTCTCCTTCAAATGACAGTATCCTCTTCTGTCCCCAAGGTCATCCAGCATCTTCTTACGTCTTCTTGTCACTTCTATCCGCCCCTCTATCTTTCCTTCAAGAACTTCTTTTAGAAGGCAGTTTCTGCGTAAAACATGACCAATCCAATTAGCCTTCCGTTTTCTTACTTTGTGTAGGATATTCCTCTGCAACACTTCTTCATTTCTCACATAATCGGTCCAATTGATCTTCTCAATCCTTCTCCAACACCACATTTTGAAACTTTCCAGATGTTTCTGATCTATTGCCCTAAGTGTCCATGTTTCAGCCCCATACAGAGCTATGCTCCAAATATAGCATTTCACTACTTTCTTCCTCAAATTTAAATCCAATTTGCTGGTAAAAAGATTCTTCTTCTTGCAAATATATACAAAAAAAATTAAAAATGTTTTTATGGACTTGGCATGCATCTGTCACTTCCTTCAGCTCCAGAATACTTAGACAGGACTGATGATAATTTGTACAGGAGGCCTTTAGTATCATATAGTGACAAATAAGAACATGGCTGTTATTAGACCATTAAGATAAGCATTCCAGTTAAAAATCTAACACATTTCCACACTTTTTTATATATCAAAAGGGTCTAGACAGGAGTCAGCAGTTTTAATAACATAAATGTTTTATTTATGTCATGAACATGTTTCTAATTACATTTTTTAAAATGGCAGAATTTTATATAATTTGAGTTGATCCTTGTGGCCCTTGTAATGTACACTTTTCCAATCTTATTTTTTGTACATATATTGCAATTATAAACATGTGAATACAAATCAATTATGAAAGGTTACTGTTTAATTTTTGTTTGCATGAAATGAAAGCTGCTGTTTTGCTGATGTAACTTGTATTGTTTAGGTGAACCTGGATCAGGTATCTTGGGGTTCTGAGGCTGGCAAGGACTTGCTGTCAGCAATGGTGCTCAGTGAAGAAGCACAGAAGTTTGCAATTGGCAGAGAAATTGCTTATGCACAAACCCTTTATGTTTATATGAATAGTGCTTTTCCAGCCATTGTTATTATTTCCATGTATGCCTTTACAACTAACTGCAATAATAGACTGGGTTTATTTGGTAAACCATTTGCACTGCGAGCCATTCTGTATTCCTTGGTTGGTCTCTTTGGATTTGGATCTTGGGCTTTTATGAAGGTATAGTGAATTCTGTCATAACCTCAGTTCTTAACACATTCAAAGCATGTTTCCTGCCTCTGTTGGTCTCACACTAGTCAGAAGGTGCAAAGAAAACGGATTTTTGAAGCACATCATATTTGAAACCTTTGGTTCTTATATTTTTTGACATCTGACATGTTAGGAGCCATGAGAAACAAAAAAGAAAAATTGTTTCAGTAAGTTAAACAGGAACAAAGGAAAACAACATTTAAAATAGGAAAGTTGTTTCATCAGTCTGAGCCTAATAGCAGCTGCTATTCATAAAATACTGATCTTTCATGTAAAGCTACATTTGTTGAAAGATGAAAATGGTAATTTTAACAGAATTTGCTAAATTGTATATTATTCTAATTAAAAGAATGAATACTGCTACATTAAACAGCTGTGGAGGGAGTCAGGCACCGAACTATATGAATAGAAGTGTACTACTAAGACTAGCTATTAGTCTTCATCTGTGACATTCACTGTGTATAATAAAAGAATCTTAATTTTAGGATTTCACAACTGTCCATTATGAGACTCAAGTGGATAAAGAGATGTGTGCTTTGGGAGAAAGCTACATTAAAGGAGGCATCGAATTCTATTCCAAACTGCTGAAGAGAAATATTGCTCTCAGGAAACTGATGGGGAAGAAGGTAAACGAAGGATTATCTGTAAGACCGTATGTTGCCTTTGATTTTTAAAGGCAAAGTCTTTCATTGGAAGAAAGAAATCTTATGAACCTGCCTGAAACCAAAGTAAATTAGTACTGAAAATTTAGTCTTATACCTTAGATGTTTCCAGTAAGGTATCTTAGGCACCATTCCTGTCTTTGTGTGATTTGGACAGTTGAAACAATATGTTGCTGATGAACCAGTGTGTTTGTGTGTATATATTATGAATTATAATTATGAAAGACAGAATACAGCTGAATCAAAAAGCTAGAAAAATTGCACCAAAAGGCATTTTCTGATACCGTTTTAATAATAAATTCAAGTATATTTTATATTTAAACTGCATGCAGAGTGTTATATTAATAAGCCGAGTGTCCTATACCATTTTTTGCTGTTTCAGTGTGATGTTCGTGCCTACTTCATTGAGCAAAGGACATTGATACATGGGAAAATTGTAGATAATACATATCTCATTTCTTCATCAGTGATACTTTGTCACTCCCTGCTTGAGGTTTTTATTAATGTCAGCACCCAAAACTGCCAGTTTGAAGGCTTCATCCTTCTTACTGCATAAACATTATAATTCACTGGAGTAAGTCCAGGCACACTCTGCATAATTCTCACTGGAGAATTCAGAGCTCATACAATTTCAAGTAAAAAATGTAGGATATTTTTAGAAGAACAGTTCTAGCCGTACTCTTTTCCAAATTCCTGATGGACTGAAAAAAAAACTGATCTGAATATAAAAGTAAGTACTTGTGTTAGGTTAAGTTAGGGCTGCACCATAGCTCAAGTGGTTACTCTCTGTCTTCGCACCGTGGCGGCAGCCTGGGTTCGATCCCGGGTCTGGTAAAGTGGGATTTGTGGTGGACAAAGTGTTGCTGGGGCAGGTTTTCTTCAAGTACTTTGGTTTCCCCTACCAATCTTCATTCCACCAGTTGCTCCACAATCACCCTCACCTATCATCTGGGGAATAGGCCAGAAGTGGCCGCAGTACAAGGGACTTAGTCTGACCCCACTAGGAATAAAAAAAATTTGTTAAGTTACGTTAGCATTGCTCAGTTTAGGTTAGAGAATAGGTTTTCAGGCCTACTCCACTTGTTCAGTTCCACCTTAACACTTTGCCAGTATTAAGTGCAGCATTGTATGGAATTCCTAAGATGTGTGAAACAGCAAACACTTCACATTTTTCCTGACACTGCTGGGCATTCTACACAAGGAGTTTTATGTAATGCCTAATATCATACTTTAACATCAGCTAGTAAATAAATTCCCTGCTTGTATGAAACCTGAAGCTACATTATCACAATTGAACAAAGGATGTCTCATTTCCATTTCTCCAAGATCTGTTTTAATGTTATCCACTTATCTGCACCTGGAATTGCCAAGTTATCTCTTCTGTAGAGGTTTTCCCACCATGCATTTCTCACTCCTACTTGCACACTAAAAAAGTGAAAATTATGACAGAAATAGGGGAAGTGTTAATGGAATGACTGTATACTGAAATTGAACGTTACCATTTCAGGGAGAGAAACTATATACAGCAACAGGCAATGACCAGTATATGATGAGGCAATTACATCAGCCACTGACACTTCGGAAAGAATACTGTGAGCTGCAGCTTCAAGAATTTAAGAAACAACACAAACACAGCTCTACAAAAGTTACTAGTGAAGACAAATTGACCATTTCACATAATGCAGATACTACCGCTGCTTCTCCTTCATAATAAACTTTAATATACCATACTGTAGTTTATGGACAAGCGTCTTCTGTTTAAAACAGAACACAATATTAATTGATTTTGTAACACAGAAGTGTATCCAGCAAATATACAGTTTTTCTGTTACATGAATGTGTTCTGGTTCATCCTGGATAACTCCTTCAACATTCCTGTTTCACAGGCTATGCTATAGCTCAGGTGTTACTGGGTTCTTACTGCTGGAGACTGGGTACAGTACCAGGGAAATCATATTATATTTCTGGTGGCCAAAATGATGCTGCACAGTATGAAAAATTTCCACTAAACCTTCCACGGTCTAGAGAAGGGCACAGGAAGATGGTTGTGTGATGGAATAGAAAATCAAGAGGTTCTAATTGGAGATCTGAAAAGCAGTTAACCAAACAATGGGATGGAATGCTTGAATTACAAAACAAACTGACCTTTTCAGGGTTTCAAACCTCAACTCAACTAAGCAGCAATGACAAGTTGTAGCTGACAACTGTGCCTAATGTCATAAGACTGATATTTCCTTGTATACATAAAGCCGCAAAACTCAGCTGCCAGTGTTTGTGGTGATGAGTATGCACAAAAAACAGTAATGAAATTGAGGAAACTCTGGAAATGTATCCCACAGATCTCTGATCAGCCACAGATATAACGACTAGGTGATAACAACTTGATCCAAGAGACATGAAAACTTGAATACATTAGTTGAACCAAAATAAATACAAACCTTGTCTTTAATAAAGTTGACCACATAGTGGTAAGAATGGACATACATTGATAAATATGATGATTGGTATAAAATAAACCAGTTTCCCTAAATTCCTAATCAAAATCTGAAGTGAAGATGGGAACTTCTGACACCAATTCACCATGTTCTGTATAATGGAATGAAATCTTATAGCACATCAAAATATTCTGTACAAGGTCTAGCATTTTTCTGAAAAACATATGCGTAAGTTTCAAGCATACTGACTCCAAATTAAGTGCCTTTTATAACTCTGTCACCAATACCTCCAGTTTTCAAGAATGACATTAAATTCATACCTAAAAGATAAAGGTAAAAGTTGTCTGTGACCATGCCATGTATACATTCATACTTATAATTTCATTAAATTAAGAGACATCATAAAATATACTCTCATATAATGATCCATAACAATAAGAAAACCAATCAGTCATACCTAAACATTTCAATTATATCAGTTCTTTCTGGACTGGAATAAAGAATAAGGAATCAGTGTTGGGCACTAAGTATGTTGGGCAAAAACTGCATTGTGACTAGATAATGCATATTATATATTTTACAATTTTATAGATTTAATAAAAAAATAAGGTTCTTGAAACAGTGGGGCATTCTCTGAACAACACTTTCTAACAAAACATAACCTCTTTTAGAAAGGCAATCATTAAATGAGTGAAAACAGTAAATTATACTTTCTAGTAAAGTGTATCAATTTTACTTTCATAAAATTCACCTCTAAATGTAATACGTTATAACTAAAAGAGTTAACTGATATTGCACTAACTGTCTGATATTCAACAATGATAGCTGTAATTTTAACAGAAAATTCTCCTTTAGTACCTGTGAATAATTGTAGCATTGAGAGGGTGAACAGGCACTCACAGAAGTTTGCTGACAGTCATATCTGTTCCAAAATATGATTTTATGCAAGATATGGATTCAAGCTTTACATTTTCACATAAACCCATAGCCATATTATGACAGTATACGCACTGGACTAGGGTCTACAGGACAAAAACTGACCACTTTTCAAGATTTTACAACAATGCCAAAGTAAAAAAAAAAAAATAGGCCTAATTCCATGACAGTAATACAACTGAGGTACCTGTGCATGAAGTTACAACAGCTGCTAAAATAATACTGTACTTACATGGAGACTCACATTTCTGACAATCTGATGAACAGTTTCCTGAACATAAACACGCCTTCAGAATTTATTCGACTATATTTGGAGCTACTCGTGAAAGTAAAAGATCATTTTGTTTTGAAGCAAATCAGCAACTAGACTAGGACACCATCCTCTCACTCTTTGCTTTCAGCTGAGTGTGAATTACTTCGCAGATTAACTACTGATGAACTGATTTCAAAATTTGCTAACAAAAAATGTAAAAAAAAAAACACTTTATGCAAATGTAAAGAAAGAAATACACAGCAATTCCCTGAGCCAAAGAAACTCAATCTAAAGACTAAATTCTCTCCCTTTTTTTTTTCTCATACATGCAGTATATATAAGAAAGTATTGTAAATAACTCAATGGAGCTGAATCCTTCTTGAGAAGCCAATAGCTGCTCAGCCACTCAAGAAATTTCAAGCATTTTATGGTACCTTAACACCTTTCGGACCGACAATTTAAATATTTAAATCACCCTGGAGATGGCATTTTTATACCTACTACCCTAACTTTTGCACTGTTCATGTTAAAAATTAATATAAAATCTCCTAATTAATTTTATGAACTAAAATTTTTGGAGAACATTTACCAATGCTCCTAGAAGTGCTTGAGTGTGATATTTCTGGAAACATTCCCCTTTGTGAAGTGGCATTACACACTTGCAAATGTAGACAGTCATAGTCCTTTTTTTGTGAACTGCGCAAACACAGCATTGCCTAGAAGGATGCTTCCCCTTGGAATGTTCACTCTTCACAATTTTCACAAGGGTATGTTTCCGCATATCACCCGAGAGTCGCCCAGGGGTGTCCACATGAGGCCTGCGTGGGGTGGGAGTAGAAGGGCCCAGTCGCACTAAGACTGTGTCTGCCGCCGGTTCTGCCGCCACCGTGTGGTCTGTAGCCCAGGCTTTTGCCACATTCAGCAGAAATGCCTTGTATTTCAATTTTGAATGAGGGTTTAGATTTTGAAAATCAAAAATGAATTGAAAATGGCACAATTTATAAGCCACAGGGCAACTTTCTTTGTCCATTTATTGTTTTCCAAGGAAGAGAATAATAGGCCAAGTACTGATCAGCTCTATCAACTCCCTTCACGAACATATTATACTCGGAAATACAAACAGGCCTCTTTACCTGTCTATGTCTCCTCTGAACATCAACCATGCTCAAATTGTGAATTGTGGAAATCATATTCACAACACGAGTATCCCTCCAGGACTGAAGAATATCCCCCTTCCTCCAGAATGTGGTTTCACCAAGTTTCAGGGATTTACATTCCTCTTTCAGATCTGGAGGAAGGCCTCTGTTCACCCTAATTGTTCCACAAACACATACTTTTCTCAAAAGTAGGTATTCTGCAGTTGCCACACTGTTATAATAATTGTCTTGATAGACATGGTAATTTTGATCAAGGTTGGGTTCCAAAATGGAATGAATAGTTTCTTGTAATTTCTTTCCTTCACCGGAATAAAATTCTAAATTTACAATATAGCCTGAAGTGCTTTCAGTAACTACACGAACAAGTAGGCCATACTTTGTAAGTTTCCCAGGATTATATGTTCGCATATTGCACTACTCACTGACAGCTTGCTAAGTACAGCTTGAAGAAATAAAGGCATTTATTTTCCTTTGCAGGGGCATATAGTTACAGCAAGGTCACATAACTGATTAGTCAGCAAACATTCCAGAGGCTTATCACGCAGCTGCAGGCAGCTACTGCAAGCTGGGTGGTGTCAAAGCGATGTATAGTGTGTTGTAACTTATCGTGTTCTAAAAACGTATTAATACGCGACCAGTCCACTACGTTTAAAAGTGGAAAACATATTAATGCATGCGCGGTTCGCAGAGTGTTAAGGTTAATTTCTGTATTGTAACTGCATCCAATTTTCAATCTCAAATTTTGGTGGCTATATACAGACGTCCTAGGCCTCTCTATGTAGACTGGGATGATGGTTTCTGCAAAGTCATCTAACTTGTTTGCCCTCCTAGCTATTAGTGCCTAGGGCCTACAAAAGTTTTTATTATGGCCCTGCATAAATGTATGGCCAATTTACATAAGACGCTGATATACAATTTTATTTATATTAGACTTACTGTATTGTTTACATAATTTTAAAAGAATTAAGCTCAGAATTTGCAAGCTGTTATGATACTGGGTAAGGTCACTGCTTGTATGGACAGAATCTTCCAATTATTAATAATACAGACATGTTAAAACATGCCAAATCATGCAGTAGTTTGTCAGTGATTACAGAATAAAAATTTGTTCAAAAATATTTTGCCATCCTAGTTTCTTTGTTTCATCTATCAGCAAACTTTTATCAAACTGTATGTGTCTATGAAGTGTACTCCCTTAAGTTATAAAATGTATTTTTTTTGGAAAATATTACGGGCAACAGGATCTAACAGTTTGTGATGACGGTATGGTCAATAATTGTAATATAGGCAATGCTAAGTATACCATGTATATATGAGAAATTTTAAATATTTTTTACAAAATTTTTCTCCCATATACTTGGTATGTGACCTATCCTGATTATTTACAATTTTCCTTTCCTTCAGTATGGAGTCCAAAGACTTGAAGCTCCTTTTAAATGCTCCATCTGTAGTAACACCTAAACACACAGGTGTCATGTACTGCTTCCTAATATCTCTGATCACAAAGCACTTTAACATGCTGACGTCAGCTTCCTTGATAAGATTAGTATCTTCTTGATCTCAGCAGTGAAGAGTCTAGCTGGTTAAATGGTACCACCATGAAGCCAACCAGTATCCAACTATCATAAAATTCCCAGTTGACCCAACTGCATAAAAGAAAAAGAATAAAATAAAATACAATGATACTGTTTTGTTTCAACATGTGAAATTAGCACTTGGGGTTGGTATGAAGATGTAACATTATACACTGAAATTAGCAATAGATGTCAAGCTTCAAGGTACATGGATGCAGGACAACCACAACAGGATCAGACAAGGTGAAAATTGAAAATGTTACGGACAAAATCTATATTTTGGCAGAACATAGAACTATTTTTTACAATTAGAACTGAATGGATACAACATGACCTTAATTATCATCCACATCCAGAATTATGTCCATAAGGCTATTCTAAGCTTCCATTTCCTCTTATCTACAAGGGTAGGTTGGAAAGTATCCACAAAATTTTCATATGTTCTTTGTGAACAGCCCCACTGTTGAATGCACACAAAACCATAATCATGGAACCTTCCTATTGTAGTTACTTATTTGACCTCTACAGTTCAGTTAATATTCACTTGTGATATTAATATTTATCACATGCACCAACTAAGAGCAGTATGCGGGGATTCAAAGGCATAATCTGCAGAAATTTATGGTACACCATCAGTACAATATGGCAACAACATTTTTCTGCAGTGAAGCATATACAAATGCACTGACATGTTCAAAAATGGCTGAATAAGTGTTACTGACAAAGAATGGTCAGAACACATGTCAACATCAACTACTGAAGGAAGTGCTGAATAAGTGCACATGCTAATTCTAATCAGCAGAGGAATCACTGCTGATTAAGCAACAAACCAAGTGCAGGTTAGTCATGGTTCTGCCTATGAAATCATCCACTACTTCACTTCCGTAAAGTTTGTGCAAGGTGGATTCCAAAATAACTCACAGAAAAGTATAGGTGTAACTGCCTTTTAAACCAGTAATGTGGGAGGACATCATCTTTTAGAGGCATACTGTCACTGGTGACAATGTGGATCCACCACTACAAGCCACAGAGCAAATATCAAAGTACACAATGGAAACACCCAATATAGACAATAAAAAAGTAAAAATCTCAAACGTAATTAGGAAAAATTATGCTTATGCTGTTCTGGTATTTGCAGGGACCAATTCTTGAATATTATCAGGAATGATAGCCAATGCACATTACAGTGAGATGCTGCATAAGAAGCTCAAGCCAGCAATTCAGAGTAAATGCCAGGACAAGTGTAAAAAAAATGTATTGATGTATGACAGTGTCCATCCCTATACTGCTGCTCTAACTGTTAAAACAGTCCAGCAGCTACACTCTGAGATCCTAGAACACTGAGATACACCCTTGTCCTCACTTTGTTGGATTTTTATGTCTTTAGGCTCCCCACAGATGCTTTTAGGGGCCATCATTTTGCAAGTGTCCATGAGCTGAAGGAGTGAGTGTATAGTAACACTGCTCTTTTCCAATCTGTTTTTGTTATAACAGCTCAGTCAGAACGGTGCTATCCCTGCTACACCTGTTTCTACCTTAGGATAGTGTATGATGACCACTGCAAGTTGTCCTCATAGACTGAAAGGTTGGTATAGGTATGGGAAACTAGCTGGGTTGGTTAGCATGAGTCTCAGGGTAGCGATGCCGGATTAGGCTGTATTCTGGGAGTTGGTTAGCATGAGTCTCAGGGTAGCAATGCCGGATTAGGCTGTATTCTGGGAGTTGGTCAGCTTGATGTTGATTCACTTATTGTTCTCCAAGCCACAATGTTTAATTTACTGTACGTTAATGCTTACAATTCAAATTTATTAACTGATCTGCAAACTAGGTCTCGGAGCATGCAACGGTCACATCCGTACACTTCAGAATATTTTGTAAGACTCTCTTGTGGAAATGGCTTGCACATCCCATGCTGGGAATTGGAAAAAAATTTGAATTCTCCCCAGTGCGGACATATATATGCCATCCCATCCGTAGGGAAGCCTGAACCAGGCAACTCAGTCATAACAGCCTTGGAGTGGTCCTCATTCAGAGGCAATTATAACGAGTTTTGACCTGGCTTTTTCACTGATTTTTCCAAATAAAAGAGGAGCTAGGATTGATCAGCATCAATACATGGTCTGCCACCTAGCCAAAATATTTTTTTTTTCTAATGGCACACATAAGCTTATACAATCCTAGCACAGGTGTATTAAAACCATTTTGTACCATGACATGTTTTTAGCATAGGAAAAGAAAAAGCCTCAGTACATGGGGATGCACACATAAGACAAAACCTGGCACTGGAAGGGTTAAAGCAGACACAAATAAATCTCCCAGGCAATATGGCATCATTTGCTAAGAGGAAATGCATGTGTATTTAATGAAACTTCACATTCACTTCTGTATTCCATATACTTATAACGTCTTGCTAGTTAATAACTTACCAAAGTTTGTTTCTGTTCTTCTTTTTGAAGTATTCTCGATGTCTGTTCTGTATCAAATTTGAGAACTGCAGCAATTACACGGGCAAGAACCTGAATAACAAATTATACTATGTTATTTAATAAGAAATTGCTTAACTCTTTACAGAACCAGGTACAGCCATGTTTTGAGAATGCAGACAGGAAGACAAACGATTCTGAACTGAATATAACCAGCATTCTCCATATTTAATCTGCTCTTAATTTCTCTGTGAATGCAATTATTCTTTGTTACTATTGTTACCAAATACTTGACATTTGCCATATTTTTAAGGATGTGTTAGTTATCATTACATTATGATTCTGTCCTGCATTCTGGTAATATGACATGCACATATACTTACCGGTAGTCTTTCCTGGATTTACTCTTACATGAACATCCTTACTAGCACCTAACAGAGCTTCTTCATTTTTCCTTATGGCATTTATGTTTTCACCAAATAAATTAATATAATCAGAACAGACCAGGTGCTAATGAGTCCCATTCAATTTCAGTCATCCCTGGTTTGCTTGGTTTCATAATCGTATATTCTAATGTAAAGTGAAAGACAGGGCAACAAATATCTCCTTGTTTCAGACCATTCTGAATATGAAATACAGCAGATATGGGACTTTACTATAGGCATATTTTAAACACAGTTTACTCATTGTAACTAGTTCCACTGGAATACCGAATTCAATGAGCATGTTATATAATACTGTCCTCCTAACTGAATGAAAGGTTTCTTTGAAGTACATAAATATCTGATGTACTGTCCCACTGTCCCCAAATTTCTCATTAATAATATGGCTCCAAATTCTGTATATTCCTCAGCTTCCAAGATCATGTCCTTACCGGCCAGCGAGTGTCTCACAACTAATCCATGAAGGTAACTCTCAAGTGTCTCTTCACCTTCTCAGCTCCTTAGCTTCAATTCAGTTCCTGGTATACAGCTTTGGCGCTTACCCCACAGAAAACAATGCCTCCAACAGCTCTTCTATTGTTGTGTGCAACTTCTGTTGCAATCTCATGATGCTTACTGACAGCTGAGTAGTAATGAATGCTTGCTCAATAGTGCCACTGCATGTTTACCATGTTGCAACCTAGCAATGGCTGTTTCTTCTTGCTCCAGAATTTTGGCTTTGAGCCCTCGTGTCACAATATTATACAGGACTCTTATTGAATTAGTTTCCTCTTGAAGTTACTAACTACCTTTATAGTCATCTTCACTAGTCTCACTCTGTTCACCATTCCAACCATCTGTTTCAGCTTCAGCACCTTGACAATACCCATCTTGTCTCACATTCGGTACTTACACTCTTATGTTCACTGCCAACATTTCAAACTTCTTATTCGTCCTCCTCCTTTCCATCCATTTCATCAGATATCTAGCACATTTAGAATTCTTTGACTATCAGTTCTGGAGATATCCAGTGTCATGATATGATCCACTGGCACAGTAGTTCTACACTGGGATTCTACATTGTTCCAACTGGAGTCGGAACATAGTACCCTGCCAGAAGCTGTCTGGAATTCAACTGTTTCAAATAATCTTTTATGAGGCTTATTCACTAGAACATACACTTACGAAGTTATCCATCCAGGTGTGGTGACACCATCAGTATTCACAGCATGAATCACAGATCGGTTATCCAGGGTTAAACAATCTTCAAATGCATCCAGCACATGCATTTGGTGATCAATCTCTTAGTTTGACATCTGATTACTAATTCCACAGGCAGCTGTGCTTCAGCATAGTTTTTAAAGTATCACATATGGTGGTAGTTCTGGGCTATTTGCCAACTCTATCAACATTACAATCACATGCATATTTTCACTTCTTAATGATTTTATGACAACCAGTCCTGAACGTACATCACTGACAGTGTAACTGGATAGCATATAAAGGTACATGGGTATTTCATCAGCAATGCCTCAAAATGTAATGGTAGCTTCTTGCAAAAGTGAAGTTCTTCATGGTATAGAAAAGTATTCCTCCGTGTCATTCATATATACCAGCAGAAGCTGGACTTAAATTTCAGCCTCTCACTGAGCAATTATGATGCATGAAAATGCCATTCAATTCTCTCTGAATCTGTACAAATGGCAATATTCACATGGATTTGGTATAAGTTCTTATTTTTGTTTTTTCCACTCTCAGCTGTTTGTGCTGTGTCATTCTGCTTACTATAATCTTAAAGCACCTATCACAATTGCAGCACTAAATACTTTCTGACACTTTTTCCCTTTTACATTAATACCTCATTTTCTTGACATGATCTGGCACTTTTATGTGGGACAACACCTATGTTAGCAAAGAATCTCATGATACTGTAAAGCGGTGAATTAATGCCTATGTTTCCTAACTCTGATCATACTCCAGGTAATCTTGTAGCAGCTCATGGTTTCAGACTTGCATGTCTCTGTCTCTGTCACTTGCTACTCCTGTTACAGTCCAAAGATCACCTACATACAGTCTACTGAACTATTATTTGATCGATAAATTTATTATTATTTTACTAATATGCATTTTTTGATTAAAAATTTTGGAAATAACTTCAGATACCCTGAAATGTACATATTTGTTGTGTTACACCTTGCTTCTGGACTGGTTGTAACACAACAGAAAATTCTAGAATGTTTTGGTGACAAGATCCCAGTTGATGCATTTGAAATAACCAAGCACAAGAAGCTTCTTGTATCTGGCATATGACTTCTTTGATGACATGCTTGAAGTAGCTTGTGTGTACAGACAGAAATTTGACTTCACTAGAGCTGGATGTGTTTCTACCGTATTCCACTCAAATTCTAAATGTAATATCTGAATAACAATTTAAGACTTCAAATACAAGTTATCTTTACACAGACATTATTTAAAAGTAAAGGGTCAACTAAATTATTATAAAAGCATAATTTCATTCAATTTTACTTCATAAAGTGACTGTACATTAATAACATTTTATAGCGAAAGCTAAAGCTTCACATGTGAATAACTGTAATAAATATACTAAACACTAATAAATCAGTTTAACTTTAATCAGTGCACAGTGATATTAGCAATGCAGAAGTGAACAATGAATTGTACTTTTCTTGAATTTAGGTTATTAATTCAGCAACAGCATGGTTCCTAATTGCCACAATAATTGCCATTAGAGCCAGAGACAACTACTTTACCTGAGCTAACCTTTCCAAATTTACATACCGAGAACAGGAGGAAGAAATATGGAGCTAACTGTTGCCCAGAATATATATTTCCTTATCATCTACATCCACCTGTATAATGACACAACCATTCAACTCCATCCTCCATGCAGTGAAGAGCTGTAACATCCTCCAAAAAATGGCTACACTCTCATGCATGCACACACACACACAGATGCTGTAATCCATTTTAAAGTTTTAGCATGTTCATGCCAGGGTTTGAACTGTATTGTTCTATGAGAGTGTAGCCATTTTTTGGAGGATGTGTGTGCATGCACGTGAGGGAACTTCTATTTTTTGAGGAAGAGAGAGCATACAGAGCATTCAGATTCATGATGATCCATAGTTTTTCAAATCTCAGGGGAGAGGGGCCCATCTTCCATTCAGGCAAATAGGATACTGATCCCTTTTGCCATGAGACTGCAACATGCAAAGCAAACGCAGTTACCAGAAGTCTCAAAGTTCATGACTGAAAGTTGAATGAGCGCAGATGCAGAAATTCTTTTCTCAGTTCTATCTAAAAAGTTCAAGACTTGCACATGCCTAGTCTAAATATTCTCTTTGCTATTCAGTAGTTCTGTATTACACATATGTATTAACCTTTATCCTACGGCCCTTTAAACTTAGGTTGTGGCAGCGGTACGGAATTCTTTAAAGGGCCGCTATTTGAGATTCGTTAAAATTGTAGTCACTTACTAATTTTGCTCCTATTTTTGCTATTTCTGTGATAATCGAACGAAATAAACGCTGTTTTTTTCTCGAAAGAATATAGAATCAGATATTGTAATTTACAGATTGTATAAAACATGTTAAAATTTTTGCACTGACTCCAAAAAGAAATTTGCCAATTTTTTTCCTTCTCTGCGAGAATTCATACGTTTTGGACACCCCTGAATTCAATCTGGTGGATGGAGACACTCGGCAACATTGGAGTTGCTGTGTCTAGTAAGTTTATCTCAGTATAAAGTGACGTACCTCGTTCGGAATGTTGATTTGGACGAGTGAAAATAAGCTCAGTGTCTTCGCTCTCAGCTACAGATCAAGGCTAACATTGTTTATGCAATTGCTTTTGTAGTATCAACAAAGCGATAATAGAGCTTAGTTCCTGGAATTGTGCAGTCGAAGTTTGT